GTCCCGGCAGGGTGTGTGCATGGCCCTGCTGTGGGGTTGTGGATTTTCAGGGATGTGCATGGCCCCGGTTTGGGGTTATGGGGTTGCAGAGGTGTGCATTGCCCTGTGGTTTGGGGTTATGGGGCTAGGGAGGTGTGCATGGCCCTGGCGCATGGTTATGGGATTGCAGTGGTTTCCATGGCCCCTATATGGGATTATGGGGATATGGAGGCGTGCAGGGTCCCAGTGCAGGGCTGTGGGGCCGCGGGGGGGGGTGCGTGCCGTGCTGAGGTCCCTCCTGGCAGATGAACCTGGTGGCGGGGTGCTTCTACGACGGGGTGCTGCTGTACGCCATGGTGCTGAACGAGACCCTGCGGGAGGGCGGCTCCAAGAAGAACGCCACCCACCTCATCGAGAAGATGCGGGACCGCAAGTTCCAGGGTAGCTTTTTTGGGGAGGGGGGAGGGAGTTGGCAATGGGTCTTGGGGGCTCGGGTCCCGCCGTCCCCATCCCACCCACCAGGGTCCCTCTTGTCCCCGCAGGGGTGACGGGGCTGGTGAGCATGGACGGCAACAACGACCGGGACACCGACTTCAACCTGTGGGCCATGGGCGACCCCGAGAGCGGGCAGTACGAGGTGGGGGGCGGCACACGGGGGGGTCCTGGGGGAGGTGGGGAGGGGCTGAGGGGGTGTTCCAGGCTCAGGTCTGTCTGCCCAGGTGGTGGGACACTACTCGGGCGCGGAGAAGCAGATCCGCTGGCTGGGCCGTCCCATCCGCTGGGTGAAGGGGGCCCCCCCCTTGGACAACCCGCCCTGCGTCTTCGACGTGGATGACCCCTCCTGCGATAAAAGTGGGTGCATGCCCCCCCCCCGGTGCTGGCATCCATGGGGTCTCCGAGTGCCCAGCGTCCTTCCCTGGGGGGTTTTGGGCCCCTCGAGTGGCGTGCTAACAGTGTACCCCCCCCACATTTCACTGCAGCCCCCCTCTCCACGCTGGCCATCGTGGCTTTGGGCACCGGCCTCACCTTCGTCATGTTCGGCATCTCCAGCTTCCTCATCTTCAGGTGGGTCGGGGCTGGGGGAGCCGTGCCTGGGTGCTGGGGGGCAGGAGCCTGACCCCCTGTGCGTGTTGTGTGTCCCCCCCCCCAACCCCACCCCAGGAAGCTGATGCTGGAGAAGGAGCTGGCCAGCATGCTGTGGAGGATCCGCTGGGACGAGCTGCACTTCGGGAGCGCCGAGCGCTACCACAAGGGCGCGGGCAGCCGGCTCACCTTGTCCCTGGTGAGAGCCCCCAGGACACTGCCCCTGTCCTGTCCCTGTCCCCCCCGTCCTGCCCCTGCATGGCCCTCCGTCCCCTACAAAACCACAGCCATGTTGCACCCATCAGCTGCACTCTTCCATCCCCTATCCGTGCCCCGTACCTCATCCTATAGCCCCTGGTACGGGGCGTGCAGACCTGGTGCTGGCCCTACACACCACAATTCATCCCTTGCCACCCCTCCTTGGGGTCCCCATCCCTAACCCTCCCTCCCCGCAGCGCGGCTCCAGCTACGGCTCCCTGATGACCACCCACGGCAAGTACCAGATCTTCGCCAACACCGGGCATTTCAAGGTCAGTCCGAGCGCCACCACCACCCGATCCCCCCTCGGTCACACCCCTGGTGTGATGCTGGCACCTCGCTCCTCTCCCCAAATCCTCCTGGCGGGTGCTAAGCTCTCTCTCTCCTTACCCCCAGGGCAACGTGGTGGCCATCAAGCACGTCAACAAGAAGCGCATCGAGCTGACGCGCCAGGTGCTCTTTGAGCTGAAACACGTAGGTTTTGGGTGGGCACCCTGATGGGGGGGCATGGGGTTCCCTCCTGGGGGTGGTGGGGCTGGGGCACCACTGGGGGCACCCCCAGTGGGGGGATAGAGAGGGATCCCTGTGGTTTTGTGGCCATGGTGCGTGGCACAATGGGGAGCAGCACCGCGTCCAGGGGTACCCCACATCCAGACATTGCCTGTTCCCCCCCTCCCAGATGAGGGACATCCAGTTCAACCACCTGACGCGCTTCATCGGGGCGTGCATCGACCCCCCCAACATCTGCATCGTCACCGAGTACTGCCCGCGGGGCAGCCTGCAGGTAGGGGGGCGGACACAGGGCGTTGGGGCGAGATGGGGGAAGGGGGGGGGAGGCTCCAATTTTGGGGATGGGGTGGCCATGGGGACCCTGTGAGGGTGGTGCCGGTGCCACCGTCCCCGCGCTCGGCGTGCTGCCTCCCCCAGGACATCCTGGAGAACGAGAGCATCAACCTGGACTGGATGTTTCGCTACTCGCTCATCAACGACATCGTCAAGGTACCCGAGCTGTGCGCACGGGGTGCAGGGTCAACGGGGAGGGGGGTGCCAACCTCACCGTGTCCATCCGTCCGTCTGTCTGTCTGTCTGTCCGCCCCCAGGGAATGGTCTTCCTGCACAACAGCATCATCGGGCACCACGGCAGCCTCAAGTCCTCCAACTGCGTGGTGGACAGCCGCTTCGTGCTGAAGATCACCGACTACGGGCTCGCCAGCTTCCGCTCGCCCTGCGACGGCGAGGACACGCACGCGCTCTACGCCAGTGAGCGCACACCACAGGGGAGGGGGACGCGGGTGGCAGGAGGGCACGGGGTGGCCCTGCCTCACCATCCCGTGGCCGTGTCCCACCAGAGAAGCTGTGGACGGCCCCGGAGCTGCTGCAGAAGGGTCGTCTGCCCCCGCAGGGCATGCAGAAAGCTGACGTCTACAGCTTCGGCATCATCGTGCAGGAGATCGCCCTGCGCAACGGGCCCTTCTACATCGAGGGCATGGACCTGAGCCCCAAAGGTGTGAGGGGCTGGGTTACAGGGTGGGGTGGGTTTTGGGGAAGGGATTCGTGCTCATCAGTCCCCTCTCCTCGGGCAGAGATCGTGCAGAAGGTGCGCAACAGCCAGAAGCCGTTCTTCCGCCCCTCCATCGACATCGGGGTGCACAGCGAGGAGCTGGCGGTGCTGATGGAGCGCTGCTGGGCGCAGGAACCGGCTGAGCGCCCCGATTTCGGGCAGATCAAGATCTTCATCCGCAGATTCAACAAGTGGGTGCTGGCAGAGGCCTGGGGCGGGCTGGGAAGGGGGGGTCCCACGGTGTGCGTGTCCACACCGCCTGTGTCCGTGTCCCTGCAGGGAGGGCAGCACCAGCATCCTGGACAACCTGCTGTCGCGCATGGAGCAGTACGCCAACAACCTGGAGAAGCTGGTGGAGGAGCGCACGCAAGCCTACCTGGAGGAGAAGCGCAAGGCGGAGAACCTGCTGTACCAGATCCTGCCCCAGTGAGCGGGGGCGAAATGGGGCCAGGGTGCCCATTGTGGGGTCGTGGTGCTCGTTGTGGGGTTGTGGTGCCCGTTGTAGGGTCGTGGTGCCCACCGGCTCCCTGTGCCGCTGTTGGCAAGGGGAGGATGGGCTGTGGGATTTTGGGGAGAGGGGCACCCATCGTGGTGGTGGCCCCCCGGCACCCACCGCCCCCTTTTTCCCCTGGCAGCTCCGTGGCAGAGCAGCTGAAGCATGGCGAGACGGTGCGAGCCGAGGCGTTTGACAGCGTCACCATCTACTTCAGCGACATCGTGGGCTTCACCGCGCTGTCGGCCGAGAGCACCCCCATGCAGGTGGGGAGCGGGGACGGGGGTGGGCAGGGGGCTTCGTGTGTGTGTGTCCCCCCATCACCACCACCACCAGCGCCAGCCCCTGCTCCTTGCAGGTTGTGACGCTGCTCAACGACCTCTACACGTGCTTCGATGCCATCATCGACAACTTCGACGTGTACAAGGTGAGGGGGACGGGGAAGGGGGGGGGGGAGGGCGAGGACGGGGGCCGAGCCGAGCCAAGCCCACCCAACGTCCCCGGTGCCGTGCAGGTGGAGACCATCGGGGACGCCTACATGGTGGTGTCGGGGCTGCCGGTGCGCAACGGCAAGCTGCACGCCCACGAGATCGTCCGCATGGCGCTGGCCCTGCTGGAGGCCGTCAAAACCTTCAAGATCCGCCACCGGCCCAACGACCAGCTGCGCCTGCGCATCGGCATCCACACCGGTGAGCCTGGGGGATGCAGCCTGCGTGTCCTCCCCCTCCTCCTGTGTCCCCGTCCCGTCCCGGCCTGAGCCTGTCCCCTGTCCCCTGTCCCCCTCTCCCTCCCCAGGCCCCGTGTGTGCAGGAGTGGTGGGGCTGAAGATGCCGCGGTACTGCCTCTTTGGGGACACGGTGAACACGGCGTCCCGCATGGAGTCCAACGGGCAGGGTGAGCCACAGGGACGGGGATGGGCACTGCGGGTCCCGTCCTGCTCCACATCCTTATTGTGTCCCCCCCACACCTCTCCTTGCGCCCCCAGCCCTGAAGATCCACGTCTCCTCCACCACCAAAGAAGTCCTGGATGAGTTCGGCTGCTTCGAGCTGGAGCTGCGCGGGGACGTGGAGATGAAGGTGAATCCCTTCCCCAAGGCCCCCCCCTACACCCCCCCCTTTCCACGGGCTGGGGTCCGTGGGGGGGTCTGACCACCGCCCTCCACCCCCAGGGCAAGGGGAAGATGCGGACCTACTGGCTGCTGGGCGAGAGGAAAGACCCCAAAGTCGTCTGAGCCCGGCGCAGCCCCCAGCCCCCCCGTGCCCCCGGGGAGCACCGGAGCAGGTTTGGGGCGTGCGGGGCACAGCGGCCACGGCACCGCCTGTCCCCCCCCCATCAGCACCAGCAAAGCCTTCCCGAGCCTCCCGCTGCCCCACGGAGCGGGGGGACCGGCCTCAACCCCCAACACCCCCCTCCCCAAAGCCTCTCGGGGTCCTGATCCCCCTTCCCACCTCCCCGAAACCCCTCGGCTCGGCGGGCTCTGAGCCGCCCCCTGGGGCCTGGCTGCCCCGCAGGGCACTTTGCCTTCTCTTTTCAGTACTCAGCCCCTCCTTGCGCCCCTCTCACCCCCTCCCCGGGGGGGGCAAAGGGAGCGGGGCAGGCTCAGACCCTGCTGCTCCCACCTGTGCCCCCCTCCTCTTCCCCTGTACATAGCCCTCCCCCCCCGGCTCCTGTAAATACCCCCTCCCCAGGTGTAAATATAGGCGTCCGCGCAGACTATTTTGTTGAAATACAACCTGCCCCCAGCGCCGCTGTCTGCTTTTGGGGGCTCCGAGCTTGGGGCTGGATGGGGACGGGGACGGGGACGCGTGTCACCCACCGCGGGCACAGGGAGAGGACGCATCCCCGGGGATGTGCCGCGTTTGGGGGTGGTGCTGGCTGCCAGCAGGGGGTGGTTATCGGGGTCCCCTGCCCCACAGGGGACAGCCAAGGTGCGCAGGGTCGCAGGGACACCCTTGGGTGCCAGGGCAGGGACACCGCCTGCTCTTTATTGCTTGCTCGGCCGCACCCCGTAGCTTTCGGCGACGTGGGGCAGGGGCTGCTCCAGGTACTCGGTGATGGGGGTGGAGAAGGCAGCGTTCCTCCGAAAGGGGCTGTCCCCGGTGCGGATGCAGGTGACGCCCTGGAGGAGAGGGACGCGGGGACCCCCGTGAGCAGGGGGTGCTGTCCCCACGGGCAGGGTGGGCTGGGGGTGCTCACGGGCACGCTGCGGGCTTGCTCCAGCCAGAAGCTGCAGGGCTGCTCCGTGCGGTAGTCGTGGGGCTGCGGTGGAAAAGGGGAGCCCCTGTGTCAGCCGGTGAGGGGGGGGCGGCATCCTCAGGGATCCCTGGTGGGGTGCGAGGTGTGGGGTGGGTACCTGGGTGGTGGGCGGCGGCGTGGGCTGGAAGCCCCCTGCCTGGAAATCCCGGTGCGTGGTGGAGAGGCTCTCCATGGGCGCACGGGGTGGGGACATCTCCTCCAGCAGCTCCTGCCTGTGGGACCACCCCCCCAGCTGCCCGATTTTGGGGTCCCCAAGCACGGGGACCACCCTTGGGGCCGGGGAGGGGCAGTCTCACCTGTACTTCTGGTAGAGCATCAGCTCCAGCATGGCCTCCCGCTGCCCTGCAGGGAGCCGGCACCCTCAGCACCGGGCTGAGCCCCTCGGCACCTCGCTCCCCCCGTTATTTTATTTTGGGATGGGGACCCCCGGTCCCACCTCTCGCCAGCATCGGGACGCTGTGGGGCGGGCGAAAGGCCTGCTTGGTGGTGCTGCTGGGGGGCGGCTGGGCTGGTGGCTGGAGGGTCAGCAGCCCGCGGTGGCCGTGCCGGTGGACGAAGCCCTCGCTGCCCATCTCCGGCACCGGCACCTGGTCCAGGTCGTTGGTGGCTCTCTGGGGACACGGCGTGGCTCCAGCACTTCCCCTGGATGGCACCGACCCCTCCCCGAGCCCCCCAGGTGCATTGACCCCCCAAGGGGTCCCTAAGCACATGCTGTGCCCTGCACCGATTTGAGGAGCAGGGGGGCTGTGGGGTTACCTCCTCCTGCCAGTTGTGGATCAAGCAGCTCCCGCGGGGCACGACCTGCACGGCCATCGGGGCCGGCACCTCGGGGGGCTCCGTGGCCACAGCCAGCACCTTTGGGACCTCCTCGGCTGCGGCCTCCTGCTCCTCCTGCTGCTCCTCGTCTGCGCCCGGCTCCTCACCGCCGTCCACCACCACCACCCCGGGGGGCTCCCCAGCCGCGTCCCCCCGGCACGAGCCCCCCACGGGCAGCAGCACGTCCCCCCGCATCCTCACGGTGCACGGGGGGGGCTCATCCCGGGGGTCCCCCCCATGCTTTGGGGGCACACAGCCGGTCAGAGCCACCCTGCGTGCGGGGACAGACAGCGGGGTCACGACCCCCAGTGCCCCCCTGGTGACCCCTGCCCTTTGGGTGACCCCAGCACCAGGCGGGGTCACCAGCACCCCGCCGGGAACCCCCCAAAACACCCCCCTGGTGCCTCCCCAGCACCCCTGGGCCCCCTCCCCAGTGCCCCCCCGGTGCACCCCCCGGTGCCCCCGGTGCCCACCCTCTGGGGGTCTCCGTCCCCCGCCGCGCTCCGCGCTCCATGGCCGGGCCCGGGGGCTCCTCTCCCGCGCTCCCCCCCTCGGTCTCCATGGGGACGGGGGACGCCGTCCTCGCCATCTGATTGGCGGAGCCGAGCGCGGGGGCGCCTCCCATTGGCGGAGAGCCTCGGGGGGGGCGGGGACAGAGTGGGGCGAGGTGGCGGGAGATGGGCGAGGGGGGCGTGGTTTCGGGGGAAGGGGGCGTGGCCAGCGGCGCGCGCGCGCGCTCCGTCCACGTGCGCGGCCGCAGCCCCGAGGGGGCGTCCGGGGCGCGCCGTGCGCCCTCTGCGCGCCTCGGGGCGGGGGGCGGGGGGCGGCCCGGGAAGGGCAGGGCAGGGCCCGGCCACCGCCCCCCCGAGCCTGCAGGACGCCAGCCCCGCTCTCCGCCCCCCCCCTCTCCCACCCCTTCCAGCCTCGACGGGCGCCGTGCAGAAGAAGGGCCCTTTGACGGCGGCGGCCCCCGGGCTGTTATTGCAGCGCTCTGCGGTGTGCGCCGGCCGAGCCACCGCGCTGCCGGCGCTGGGGCCTCTTGTTTATCCTGGCCGGCCTCGCGTCTCACCCCCGCGGCCCAGCGGGGACGGCCCCCGCCCCGGGAGCTCGGCTCCAGGCCAAGCCGTCGGGGAGGGGGGAGCTGGGGGCCGGCCGTGCCGGCAGCCCCGCGGAGGGGCCCGGGGCTGTGGCTGCTGCGAGCCCATCTGCCGAGCAGCTGCCGGGAGAGAGAGGAGCGCCGGGGGGGCGCCCACACGTGTCCGGGGTTGGGGGTGAGGGGGAGGCCCCCCCGCGCCGTGCCCTCCGTGTCCGCCCCCCCGGGGATGTGGCTTTGCTCCGGGGCACCCTGCGGGGAGCCCAGGGCTTGGGGCCCGGCAGCGGGAGCTGGAGCACATCTGGGCGCAGCGTGCCGCTGACACATCCATCCCCCCCCCCCCCCGCTCCTTCTCCTCCCCCCCCCCTTCCCCTCGATGTCTTTGGGGAACTTGCGTCATTTGCGATAGTCCTTGGCTGGGGAACGAAAACAACCCTGGGCCCCCCGCCCGCCCCAGCACAAAGTGTGTGTGGGGGGGGGCACAATGCTCATGTAGCCTGCATGCATGTTTTAGGGACCCCCCCCAGGACAACGCCAGTGCCCCCCCTTATTCCACACATCCCCGTGTTTTCATGTGCAGCTTCTGGGGAGCCCCCACTAACGGGGTGCTCCGGAGCAGGGGTCTGCAAAGCTGCAAGGGGTCTGCAGAGCGCAGGGACCCCCCCCAAACCTCCATGAGCCCCCCAGCCGGGCCCCAAGAGCCGCCGGCAGCGACACCCGGCCGAACAGACCCCACATTATCCCCGGCGGCTGCGGTCCCTGCGCGCCTGGCGGGGGCCCAGGCGGCCGCGCCGTGGTGCCAGGTGGGCTGCGTGCTGCGCCAGCGCCGGCCCCCTGCTAAATTTAGCGGTGGCCGGAGCAGGAGGCACGGGGCAGGGAGACGATGGGATGCCGGGGCTGTGGCCCCGCTGCTGCCCCGCACGTGGCTGCATGGCCCGGTGCCACCGTGTGGGTACGGGGCTGTGTGTGCCTTGCACGTGCAGGGGGTCCAGGGGGGTGCAATGCAATTTGTCCTGCACGGTGGTGCATGCACGGGGGGGTCTGGGATGTGCAATGCAAGGGTTTGCACAGTGGTGCATGTATGGGGGGGTTCTGGGGTGTCCAATTTGTCGTGCATTGTGTTTGCACAGGAGGCATGGGGTGTGCAACACATTTTGCACAGTGGTGCTTGCACAGGGGATCTGGGGCGTGCAGTGCAACCCTTTGCACAATGGTGTGTGCACGGGGGGCTCTGGGGTGTGCACGGGGAGGATCTCACAGCGGAGGCCTGGTGTGGAGGCCCAGATAAGCGGCAGCACAGCCTTCATCACCCCCCCGAGAGCGCTGGGGTTGTCCCCCAAAAAAAACAGAGCCAAGCAAGCCACTGCGGGTGCCCCGAGCAGCTTTATTGTGGGGGTGACCCGGGGGGCTCAGCCGGGGGGCCAGCCCATCTGCCGCCCCCCCAGCACGTGGAGGTGCAGGTGGTAGACGGACTGGGCGCCGTGCTTCCCGTCGTTGATCACTGCCGGGAGAGGGACAGGGGGTCAGTGTGGGGGTGGTGTCACCCGTGGGGGGGCACAGGGGAGGGGACCACCCCCCCCACTCACCCAGCCGGTATCCGTCCTCCAGCCCCTCCGCCTTCGCCGTGCGCGCCGCCACCACCATCAGGTGCCCCAGGAGCTGCGGGGAGGGGGGCAGGAGGCTCAGCCCTGCGTGTCCCCCGTCCCCACTCGTGTCCCCAAGCCCCCACTCACCTGGGCATCCTGCGGTTCCACGCAGCTCAGCCGCGGGATGGGGCGCTTGGGGATCACCAAGAAGTGCACGGGCGCCTGGGGGGCCACGTCGCGGAAGACCAGGCACTGCGGGGAGGGGGTGCAGCGCCCTGAGACCCTCACTCACTCACTCGGGTGGGGGGGGGGGGTCCACGCGTGTCCCCGCTGCCCCTCTTACCTCCTTGTCCTCGTAGAGGATGGTGGCCGGCACGGTGCGGGCGATGATCCTGCTGAAGATGGTGGGCTCCGTGCCCGCCCCGGCGGCCGCCCGCTGCGCCTTGCCCACCTCCCCGTCCTGCCCACTGAGGGGGCGCTGGGGGCACACACGGGGGGGGGGGGGGGCGTGACAACCGGGCACGCGTGGGTGGGTGACACCCGTGGGTTTGGAGACATGGAGGGGACACACACAAGGACATGCAGGGAGCAACAGCGGACGGGCACGGGGGTGGTTGGGGGGGGGGTTAAGCTGGCGAGGTGGGGGCCACGCGTGGGCCCCCACGCCGCAGGGGGGCTCTGTGCGTGTGTGCGCGTTTGCACGCCCACTCGTGGACTTTGCACGGGTGCGGAAGCGGGCGCAGGACCCACCCCCAAGCCCCCTCCCCCCCCTCTTTCCCCCCCCCATCTTTCCTCCTCCTTTATCCCACGCACCCCCCTCCCCACGCACCCCACGCGTGCCCACCTGCCCCAGGCGCGCCCCCGCCACCCAGGCGCGCGCCCACCCCCGCGCGAGCACCGCCGCCGCCATGGCGCGCGCCTCCGCGTCCCCGCCCCCCCCCCCGGGCTTCCGCCACGCCCCCCCCCGCGTCCTTAAAGCGCCCGCGCCCCTTCCCCCCTGCGCCCACGCGTGACCGCGGAGGGGGGGGAACCCACGCGTGGCGCGCTCCAGGCACCCAGCCCGACCCGTGCAGGGCGCATTGCTCCCCCCCACTCATCCCCACACCCGATGGTGGGTGCTGGGGGTGACCCCCCCCACGGTCACGCGTGGGCGTCCCCCCCCTTAAAAAAAAATCCAGAGCCAGGGCTGTGCCATCAGGGGTTTATTTCCTGCCCCCTCAGAAGCCCATGTGCGGGCGCTTGCGGCGGAGGGGCTGCGAGGAGGAGGAGGAGGAGAGCTGGCTCTGGGAGGAGGGGATGCAGAGCGGCGCCCCCGGCGTGCTGGGGGGCTCGGGGGGGTCCTGGGGCCCCTCTGCCCACACGGCCAGGTAGTCCCGCAGCGTGCGCCGCCGCTCCTTGGGGATCCCCCGCGAGCGCAGCTCCTGCGAGGACAGCATGGGCTCCACAGGGGGCGGCGGGGAGGGGGCAGCCGGCGGGGAGCCCCCCACCACCACCTCCAAGGGGGTGGCCGGGGGGGACGAGCGCGGGGGTCCCGCGTCGCTGAGCTCGGACAGCTCGGACTGGTAGGTGACGGAGGAGGTGAAGCTGGCCGAGAGGCTGCGGTGAGCCCGTGCCGCCTTCTGCCGCCGCCGCCGCTCCCGCAGCGCCTGCCGCCGCTGTGCCAGGCTGGTACCCGCGCCCCCAGACCCCCACTCGCCCCCCCAGGCTGCCGTCAGCCGGGCGCTCAGGGCATCGGGCTCTTGGGGGGGTGGTGGCGGGGGTCCGGGGGGCTCGGGGGCTGCATCCCAGCGCTGGATGCGCTCCCTGAGGCACATGGCCTGGCGCAGCCGCTGGCGCAGCTGCTGGTGCAGGGCGCTGGGTGCCGCGGGTGCCGCCAGCTCCTTGCGGGTGAAGAGGCGCCGCTTGCTGATGGTGGGGGGTCCCGGGGGGCAGGCGTGCCGCGGGGAGCCCCCCCAAACCCGCAGCAGGGCCCGCAGCCAGCGGCGGTACCGCAGGGCAGCGGCCGGGCTGGGCACGGCTGGAGGGGGCTGGGGGCTGGCGCGGCGCTCCGCGGGGGGCTCGGCTTCCTCCGTGGCCACCGGCGTGCCCACCTCCTCCTCCTCCTCGTCGTTGATGATCACCTCCAGGTTGGAGAGGTAGAAGGTCTGCTCTCCTTCATCCTCCTCCTCCTGCGCCTCCTCCTCGCTGCTGAACAGCGGGGAAGAGCCCGGGGCCTCCTGCGTGGCCTCCTCCTCTTCCTCCTGGCGGGGAGCGGGTGCTGGCGCCGCCTCGTGCCTCAGTGCCTGGTAGAAGACATCCCCGGCCTCGGAGAGCTGGAAGACCACCAGGGCCTCCTGCCGGCCCTGCTGGTGCTGCACGGCGGCCAGCCCTGTGGGGACAAACACATCAATTGCCACCTGTAGCGACCCAGTGGCCACGTCCCCTCTTTGCCCCCGGGACCCCCGCGTGCTCCCCAGCTTTGCTCACCGGCGGCGGGGGCACCGAGGCGCTGCTGGAGCCAGTGGTGGCGGTGTGGGAGCTGTGTGGGGAGGTGAGGCAGGCAGCTGGCGATGCTCTGCAGCCTCTGCGGTGGTCCCACCAGCTGGCAGGCCGACTTGCTGCCCCCTGCAAAACCGAAGTGCCCCAAAAAAAATCACCCTGTCCCTCCGTGGCACCACACGGCGAGGGGGGGGACGCGGTGCCCAAGGTCAGCCCTGTGCCCCCCCGTGCTGCTCTCTCACCTGTGTACTGCAGCAGCAGCAGCTCCTGCATGCGGGAGGCGCCCAGCACCACCTTATGGCTCCTGCCCGGGCCCCCCGGCGCCACTTGGGCAAAAAGAGGGGGGGCCTTCATCATGTGCGCCCACTTCAGCACGGGCACCAGCGGCAGGCGCTCGTCCATCAGGTACACGGCGAACTGGGAGGGGGGGGGGGACACAGCTCAGCGGGGCTCCCCTTCCTGCACGCCACTTATCAGCAGTGTTAAAAGGGTGTGGGGGGGTCCAGGGCTGTGCCCCCCAGCCGTGGGGGGACTCACCTGGGTGGTGACGAGGTGCTGGCAGGGGTGAGCCCGGCCCAGGTACATGGGCAGCACCACGCGCTCACCCTGCTGGCACCCGGCTTCCTCGCCCACCTTGAAGAAGTCGAAGTGGCAGCTGGAGGGGGCCTGTGGAGGCAGAGCAGGGTGCCATCAGCACCCCAGGGTGCCCGACCCCCTCCCCACTGACCCCACGCCCCCGTCCCAGGCTCACCCGGGTGTCCAGGCACTGGATGCCGGTGCGGTCGGCGCAGCTCAGCACCCGTGGGTGCGCGGTGAAGTCGCTCCAGCGCCAGGGCGAGTGGTCCCGGAAAAACAGGGTCTGGGGGTCGTGGCGGAGCCGCTGCAGCCTGCGAGGAAAAAGGGGCACCACCAGTGGGTAGGGGGGTTTCCCCACCACCCAGCACCCCAAAATCAGAGGGGTCCAGAACCCAGCGCCCTGACTCACCCAGTCTCGACGCTCCAGAGGTAGACGGCTCCGCTCTGGGTGCAGACAGCCAGCTCCCCTGGGAGGTGTGGGCTGTGGGGCAGGGGGACGGCATCACCATGGGGACAGGGGGGTCTGTGGTGGCAGCACAGCCCCCCAGGAGCTCGTTTTCCCCGGCACCCACCTGACGGTGAGGCAGGAGGCCGGCACGTCGGTGCGGATGACCTGCAGCGGGCTGGGGGCAGCGCCCGCCCTGCCCGGCACCCTCCAAACTCCGCAGTGGTAGTCGGAACGGACGCCCACAAAATCTGGGGACACACACACACACACACACACAAGGTGGCTGGTTGAGAGGGCAGGGTCCCCAAGGTGTCATCTCAGGGTTGTGGGTCCCGGGGCTTGCTCACCTTCTCCATCCACCCGTGCGGCACCCACTTGCCGGATGCGCCCGTTGAGCTCAAACTGCGCCGGGGCCCCTCGGGCACGGGGCTGCTCCTCCAGCACCACATCCTGGAAATCTGGAGGGGGGCAGCTAAGGGCACTACCACAACCCCCTCTACCTTCCCCAGCAGATACCCCTCCCCGTTTTCCCCCACAGGTAAGGATACAGAGGTAATTCATGGCCTCCGCGCCGGGGTAGACCAGGCGTCCCACGCGCCCGCTCGCCTCCTGGGGGGGCAGCCAGGCCAGTGCCCCCCCGGTGGGGCTGTCGTCAAAGAGCAAGCCGGCCCACTGCAGCAGCAGCTCCTCGTGCACGCAGTCGGCCAGCAGCCCCAGTGGCACCTCAAAGAGCCAGTCCCGGCACAGGTGGGAGAACCAGCGCAGGCGGGAGACGAAGTGACGCCGCGGGCAGCCGCTGCGGGGACAGCCAGTGTCACGGGGAGGGGGTCCTCCAGGAACCCCCCCCCCCCCCCAAATTCCCTGTCCCCAGGGTGCACTCACCGCCTGGCCTCCAGCCGGTTGAGCTCCTCCACCAGGGCCGTCATGCGGATGGTGGTGTCCCGGGAGGGTTTCTGTGGGGGTAAAAAAGGGTCAGGGCTGCAGTGAAGGGGGGCTGATGGAGACCCCATCCCCAAAAAAGAAACCAAACAGGCACTGACCTTCAGCTTGGAGTCACCCAGGTGGAAGTTCTTGTGCAGCAGCTGCCCCAGGGAGCCGAAGGCGTCCTCTGGGTGATCCACAAAGAAGTGTCCCAGCTGTGCGGGTTGGCAAAGGCAGGGTCAGGATGTTTGGGGACGCCGTGGTCCCCACCAGGCTGTGCCCCAGCCCCTCGCTGGTACCTGCTTGGTGAAGTCCAGCGCAGCTCCCGACCTCCCTGCCCGCAGCTTCCTGCGCAGCACGCCGCGGTACAGGATGTCCTGGGGGACCAGAGGGGGCATCCAGCAGCCTGCGGGGACAGAGCAGGGCACGGCTGGCACCGCGGGGACGGGATGGGACGGGTGCCAGCACATGGCTCGGTGCCTGGGGGCACCCCAAACCCCCCCCCCCTCCCAGGTCCTCACTGTCGTTGGGTGGCAGCAGGGGCACGGCAGCAGCTTCGCAGGGCTCCCAGCTCTCGCCCTGCCGGCTGCGGCGGGGCACGAACGGCGGCGGCACCTGTACGGGGACAGAACTGGGGAGGTGAGGGTGGCCCCGGTACCCCCATCCCCAATCCCCTTCCCACCCCCGCTCCCCTCTCACCTGCCCACTCCCGGCCTCCAGCACCTGCCCGTGCTCCCCCCAGCCGGCAGCCGGTGCTGGGCCGGCCTCATCCTTGGGGGGGCCGCAGCCGAAATAGGAAGGGAAGAGAGCGGCGGGGAACTCCATGGGGACACCGGAGGAGCGGGGGAGGTACCGGGTACCGGGGGGGTGCGCCGGGTACCGGAGGGTCCCGATCCCAGTCCCAGTCCCAGTACTGGTACTGGTCCCAGTTCCGATCCCAGTTCCGATCCCAGTCCCAGTGGTTCCCGATCCCGGTCCCGGTCCCGGTCCCGTTTCCCGCCACCCCGCCCCGCCCCGCACGCGGCCAGAGCGCGCGCGCGCGCCGCTGCCGCCGGGCTGACCCCGCCCCTCCCGGCAGCTCCACCAATCAGCGCCCGAGGCGCGGAGGGCGGCGATGGGCGCGCTGAGCGGCCAATGGCCGGGCGGGGAGGGGGCGTGGCGCGCCGGGTGACGTCATTCTCGCGGGCGCGCGTCGGGCTCCGGCGGCGGCGGCGGGGCGGCATGGGGCGGCGGGGCGGCGCGGGGAGGGGGCGCCGGGACCCCCTCGTCCGCCCCCCGCTGCGGCCGCCGCCGCTGCTCCTCCTCCTGCTCTTCCTCCTCCTCCTCCTCCTCCTCCTCCTGCCGCCGCCCGCCGGTGAGCGCCCCGGGGGCCGGGGGTCGGGGGTTTGGGGGGGGGGGGGGGGGGGTCACGGGTCCCCTATGGGGGGGGCACGACCCTATAGTGGGGGGAGCGACCCTGTAAAAGGGGGCACGGACGCTGTGGGGTGGTGGTATAGGGGGGACGGTGGTGGTAGAGGGGGGTATGGTGGGCCTGGGGGGGGTGCGGGGTGCGTGGGCAGGGGGCTGCGCTGTGTGGGGAGAGGGAGGGGGGGGTGTGGGGCACGGTGGCTGCCTGCTATGGGGCATGGGGGCGCGCAGAGGGGTGTCCGCGCAATGGGGCGCGGTGGGGAATAGGGGGAGAAATCCCCCACCCCCACCCCACATATAGACACCAGGGGGACGCGGGGGGGTGCCGTGGGGTGCGACACGCGAGGGGTGGTGTCGGGGGAGGGGGTCCCGAGGTGTCTGTGGGGCGGGGGGGGGGGAGATTTGGGGCCGCGGGAGCTGTCCCCGGTGCTGAGCCCCGGCCGCGGGCGCTGTCCGCGGTGCTGAGCCCCGGGGCTGCGCGTCCAGCCCCGGGGGGCTCCGTCCCGGTTCCCGACCCCCCCCCAACCTCACCCCAGGGGACTGAGCACCGGGGACCCCTCCTGGTGGTCTCCGTCTCCCCAGGGACCCCCCTAACACGGAGCTCCGGTCCCCTGGGGGTGCCATGGAGAGTCCCCCCCCAGGGAGGGCTCGTGGTGGAGGATTTGGGGTCGGGCACCCTACACGCAGACGGGCATTTGGTGCCCGGTGATAGGGGAGGGGGAGCTGCCTTTGTTCCAGGAGAGGGATGCAGGAGCAGATGCAAGTCGGGGCTCAGCCTGCTGGGGCTGCACACACACACACACACACACGCAGCACCAACACACACGTGCCCGCCGGCACACACGCACGCGCGCGTGCACCCCCGGCCAGGCACAGGCTGTACGAAGCAGCCCCTTCCTCTCCGCCCCCCCCAATTCCCAGCTGGACGAATCCCCCCGGGGCTGCTGGAATCCCCTCTGCTGGCATCCCGCAGCCACGAGCATCCCATCCTCAGTGCATCCCTGGGGAATGAGGCCTGGGATTCCCGGGCTGGTGCTGGGCAGGCGTCCCAGCGGCAGGGCAAAGTTGTTACGGCTCCAGGGACGTGCCTGCATCCCCGCTGCTGCCCAGGCTCCTGGAAATTCCCCGTGGGATGCTGGCTGTTTGGGCAGCCCTGCAGGAAGCATCTTGCAGGCTGTGCGCAGCCACCCGTGGGTGTGCACGCCTCCGCCTCACCGTGCACGCAGGCGGCACCCCCCGTGTGCATGTGCGCACCCCATATGTGCACCGTGCCTCCCCCGCCCAGCGGGGCAGAGCTTGGGGAGGGGGTCCCAGCCCCACTGAGAGAACCCCTTGGGTCTCCCCCCGCAGACGGGCTCTTCGTGACCGACTACTTCACCCGCACGCCGCGCAAGCTCAGCCCCTTCCGCTCCTTTGCCAGCATCGAGCTCTTCCACTTCCACATCCCCGAGGACACCGTCATCGCCGTCTGGAACCTCATCACCTTCAAGGAACAGGGCGGCACCTTCGGGGACCACTGCCCGGACCGCAGCATCACCGTGTGAGCGCACGGCGTGTCCCCGCTGGCGGGCACTGCCCCGCGGTGACCCCTCCTCGGTGTGTCCCCCCGTGCCACCCCCCCAAAGCTGCGCCCCATTAATCGCCGTGCCCCCTGCAGGTATTTCCGCTCGGGGGCTCCCTCCGTCATCAACCCGCTGCGCACGCACTTCCCCAGGGACACGGCCGTCCCTGGCTCCTTCGCCCTCACCCTCACCTGGACGCTGCCCAACCGCACCACCGGGGTGTTCAACGTCACCAGCCCCCTGCCCGGGGACTGGTTTTTGGCTGCCCACCTGCCCAAGGATGAGGGGAAGATCTCCGTCAAGGTGCAGGGCTTTGGGGTGGGGTGGGGATTGGGGAGGGCACGGTGCCCAGCTGGCATTTGGGGCTGGCGGTGCGTGGGGTAGGTGTGGGGCACTGGGTGGCTCTGGAGGGGGGGTACCGGGGTGGGCAGCACCCAAATTCCCTGCTGGGCACCCCCCAAACCCCCGTGCTGATTTCCCTGCTGGCTTAGGGTCTCTACGAGGAGTGCCAGTACCTCTTCCAGCCGCAGCTCATCGTGCAGCGCCTGGTCAACATCGCCGTGCTGTACCCCGGATACGCCTCCGAGCAGAGCATGGGCCCCCACAACCGCTCCTGCCTCTACAAGTGAGCACGACGGGGGTCTGCCAGCCTTTTTGGGGGGTGGTCATCTTCCCAGGGGTCCCCCATCCCTCTGCCTTGCCTCCCCCAGCCCCTCTCCGTGTCCCCGCAGGGTGTTTGTGCCCAGCTACACGTCGCGCGTGCAGGTGGAGGTGCTGCGGTGCCGGGGGGCCGAGGGCTGCCCCCTGTGGCTGTGGGTACGGGCCAAGGCCCCCCCCCTGCACAACTCCACGGCGCTGGACTGCCGGGAGCACGCGCCCTGCCAGCTGGCGCTGGACCTGCCCTTCTGGCAGCACTGGTACTACGTGCTGGTGGAGAGGCACCCCGGCGTGCCGGGCACCGTCTCCTTCCAGGTCATCGTGCAGCTCACGGGTGAGGGGATGCGGCCTCGGTGTTGATTTGGGGTGCTTGTGGGGTCTGGGTGACGGGGGGGGCAGCCAGCTGTGCTGGCACGGGGGTGCTGGGAGGCTTTGGGGCACTGGGATGCACTGGGATCCGTGCTTTGAGGCACTGGGATGTGCTGGGACACTGAAGTGCTGGGAGGTGCAGGGGTGCTTTGGGACACGGGGATGCTTTGGGATGCTGGGACACAGATGCTGGGATGCTCTGGAAGGACTGGGATGCTCTGGGAGGTGCTGGGACACTGGGATGCACGGGGACATTCTGGGAGGTGCTGGGATGCTCTGGGGTGCGTGGTGACATCGGGATGCTTGGTGACACCGGGATGCTGGGTGACACCGGGATGCTTGGGGACACTGCCAGGCGCCAGGACGCACGCAGGGAGCTGCGCTGGGAGGCAGAGGGGATCAGTGCCGGCTCTGACACCTCTTCCCCTGCAGACTGCTCCCGCCCCAGCCTGTCCCGGCCTCCCTTCCTGCCCTCCAGCGCCTCCATGAACATGCCCCACTCCTTCGGCTCCGCGGGCGGGCTGGGGCTGGGTGCCGACAGCCCCCCTCCCGCCAGCCCCAACGGTACCAGGCACCCTCTGGCCGCCGTCCCCAGCGCCGCCGAGCGCTGCTGGCCCGTGCGCCCCACGCTGCGCAACGAGCTGGACACCTTCTCCGTCCACTTCTACATCTTTTTCGGGCCCAACGTCTCGGTGCCGCCCGACCGCCCCGCCGTCTTCGTCATCAACCTGCTGCCGGTGCTGGACAGCGGCGGGGTGCTCAACCTGGAGCTGCGGCTCAACGTGGTGAGGACACCAAGAGCGAGGTTTGGGGCGCTCCCGGGGGGATGGATGTGGCTTGGGAGCTTTGGGTTGGGGCGCGTGGTGGTGGGCTGGGTGCTGTGGGTGGCGGGTGAGGGGGCTGTGGCAGCAGTGGGTGTCCCCAAATGGCTTGGGGCCGTGTCCCCTCTGCCACCAGAGCTCCCTGCGTGGTGAGAACGCGACGGTGTTCGGCTGCCTGAACCACGAGGTGCCGCTGGCCTCCAGTGACAACGCCTCGGTCACCTGCGAGACGGGTAGGCTGGGCAGCCCCCCTCCTCCTGCTGCACGCCAGGGGGTCCGCACCCCTCTGTACCCCAGCATGAGGGTCCCCTCACCGGTGCTGTCCCTGCCGGCAGAGTCCCTGGCAGGCTTCCTCCTCTCCGTCAACGCCACGGCCAGCCTGAGCCGTCTGCGCATCCCCTACCCACAGACGGGCAGCTGGTACCTCAGCCTGCGCTCGCTCTGCGCCACGGAGCACGGGTAGGAGCCCTCCGCGGGGGCGCAGGGTGGGCGCACGGGGATGGAGCTGGGTGAGGGTCCCCACGGCTCATGGTTGGGAAGGGCTCGTGCGCACCTGGGGGTGCCCACACCGCACCCCGGCTCTGCTCGGTGTCCTGTGGGACCCCTCCAGGTTTATGGCTCTGCTCCCAGCCCTGCCACACCGGTGTCCCTGTGGGGATTTGGGGTGTGGGCACACCTGGGGTTGGTGCTGGTGCGAGCAAACGGTGCCATGTACGCTCCTTGTGCACGGGGTGCACACCTGGCTGCGTGGCAATATGGATGTGGCAGAGATGGGAGCTGCCTTAGGGGCACGGTGGGTGCCTGCTGACCCCATTTTCCCCCCACCCCTGGGGCAGGTTCGAGCCCTGCACCAACGTGACGGCCGAGGTCTACCTGCGCGCCTACCTCTCGCCCTGCATCAACGACTGCGGCATCTACGGGCAGTGCAAGCTGCTGCGCACCAACAACTACCTGTACGCCGCCTGCGAGTGCAAAGCCGGTGAGATAACCCCCCTGTCCCCCCCGCCCGGCTCCCCCCAGGGTTGCTGGGAGGGGGTTTCCCCCGCCGCCCCCCGTGGGTGCTGCGTGGTGACAGCCGCTCTCCTGCCCGCAGGCTGGAACGGCTGGGGCTGCACGGACAACGCCGAGGCGTTCTCCTACGGCTTCCAGCTCCTCTCCACGCTGCTGCTCTGCCTCAGCAACGTCATGTTCGTGCCTCCCGTGGCCATCGCCGTGCGCAGCCACTACCTCCTGGAAGCCGCCGTCTACATCTTCACCATGTTCTTCTCCACCGTGAGTTTGGGCGGTGGGCGAGGGGCCGGGGGCAGGGGGGCCATGCGGGGTGGCTCTCACCTCCTTTCGTCCCCCATTCCCTGCCCCAGTTTTACCACGCCTGCGACCAGCCGGGCATCGTGGTGTTCTGCATCATGGACTACGACGTGCTGCAGTTCTGCGATTTCCTGGGCTCCCTCATGTCCGTCTGGGTCACCGTCATCGCCATGGCCCGGCTGCAGCCCGTGGTCAAGCAGGCGAGTGCGGGGACAGGGGAAGGGTCCCCCCCCACCCCCCCCGGGGGTGGGCGAGGGACCACCCTGACGCCTCCTCACCCACAGGTGCTGTACCTGCTGGGGGCCATGCTGCTCTCCATGGCCCTGCAGATGGACCGCCACGGGCTCTGGAACCTGCTGGGACCCAGCCTCTTCGCCTTGGGCATCATGGCCATCGCTTGGGTAAGGACCTTGGGGCGCATCCCCAATTCAGGGGATGGGGAGGGGGGGGGAGACACGGCTGCCCCCCCCCAACCCTCAATTCGCTGCCGTCCCCACGCAGACAGCTCGCACCATCCGCCGGCGCCACTGCTACCCCCCCACCTGGAAGCGCTGGGCTTTCTACCTGTGCCCCGGGGCGCTGATCGCGGCGGGCGCCGTGCTGCTCTACGCCTTCGTGGAGACGGAGGAGAATTACTTCTACATCCACAGCATCTGGCACCTGCTGATCGCTGGCAGCGTCGGCTTCCTGCTGCCCCCCCGCGCCAAACCCGCCGGGCGCCTGGGGCCGCTGCCCCGCCGCAAGGGCTGCGGGTACCAGCTCTGCGTCAACGAGCAGGAGGAGCTGGGGCTGGTCGACCCCGCCGTCGCCTCCATCAACAGCATCTGCACCGGGTGACGGCACCCCCAGGAGAGCGGATTTGGGGACCCTGGGGTGGGGGGTGGGGGATGGGGGGGGAGCAGAACCGGGGCTGTCCATCTGTCTGTCTGTCCGTCCGTCTGTCTGTGCGTCCCCGGAGCAACCAGGACTCCGCTGATGGTCACCCCTTGAGCTGCCCCTCCTGGCACCCCGGGTGTGGCTGGAGTGGTGACGTCCCTGCTGGTGCCACCAAGGCACGGGGAGGGGGCACTGCATGCATTGGGACCCCCCCCCTACCCCCTCCTCCAGCTGCCTTTTGGGGTGTTGCGGGGGGGGGGGACAGGGATGCGGTGCCAGGCAGGTCCCCAAGCCCTGTGTGACAGCCACGGGGCAGCTCCTGGGGTGCTGCTCCAGCCCCCCCCCCCCCCCCATGAGCCGTTCCCTGGGGATGCAGCCCCGGCGTGCTGGGATTTAGGGGATGCCTAACGGGATTACCAGCTGCAGGCGGGCGGGCGGCTCCCTAATAGGATTGAGATCTAATTAACCCGGTCCCCCGGGAGCCAGGCCCCAGCTGGGGGCTGCAGGGGGGGGCATCTGGAGGGGATGATGGGGATAGGATGGCGAGGCTGCAGCCCTGCTGGGGCCGGCGAGCCCCATCGAGCCATGGGGGCTGCTAAAAGGGTCCCGGGGGACTGGCGGCTGCCATCCAGGATATCATCCTCCAGCCCTTCCCGTGTCGGCCAGGCTGGGTGAGGATTAATTTTTAATTAAAGTCGTTGCTCACTTCACCACGTCCAGCTGCGTCTCCCCGGCAGTGTCAGCGGGCACCGCGATGCCAAGGAAGGGGTCAGCGCCCCCTTCCCAGCACCTCCAGCCCCATCCCCATGGGGATGCTTTTGGGGCCGGACTGTGTTCCCCCCCCCATCATGGATTTGGGGTCCCCACGACTCGGACCCCCCCCCCCCCCCATAGGAGCATCCTTCTGGTGCTCTCCATCCCTGCCTGTGCCGTGTCGCCGTGGTGACGGTGTCCCCATGGCAGCCAGGTGCCTCCGGCATCCCCATGGCAACTGGGACCCGAAAAGGCTCGGGGTGGGAGGGGTGGGGGCTGCGAGACCCCCGGGATTGGGGATGGGCTTGGGGGTGGGCGCTGGTGCTGTGCCTGGGGCAGCGTGAGCCCTCGTGGCCCCTGCCCCTGCTCCAGAAATAATAATAATATAATAATAATATAATAATAATAACAATTAATAATTTCCCTCCTCGGAAATTATCACCCCAAAATCTGGGGCTAATTACGGCTCATTATTAATTATAACCAATGGAGGCGCCTCATTAATTAAGGGAGGGGTGAGCACACCCCACTCCCTCCATCAGCCCCTGGATGGGCTCCCCCTCGACCCCCCCCCGCAGTGCCGGCAGAGCCCTGGCAGACCCAAATCCGGGCTTTTTGACACCAAAACGCCCCCCCCCCCCCCCCCCGGCAGCCTCCCCTCCCCCACCCCGCCGCGCGGGGAATCCCCTCCGATGACGTCACCGGGAACCCCCCACCGCCCTCGCCCCGCCCCCTCCCCGCTGTCTGATTGGCTGCGCCGCCTTGGCCCCGCCCCTGGAGGCGGGGCGGGCCTCGGGGTGGCCACGCCCCCCGCTCCGTACTGATCGCCTATTGGCTGCCGAGCTGTCACTCCAACCCGGCACAGACCCGGTTGCTCGGCTGGCTGCTGCGTGCCCCACTGCGGCCCCATTGAAACCCTATTGTGGCCCCATTGTGTCCCCTTTGAAACCACATTGCAACCCCACTGTGGCCCCACTGAAACCCTATTGTGGCCCCATTGCAACCCCATTGTGTCCCCACTGTGGCGCCTTTGAAACCCCATTGCAGTGCCACTGCAATCCCATTGCAACCCCATTGAAATCCTATTGTGTCCCCTTTGAAACCCCATTGCAACCCCATTGCCACCTTATTGCAGCACCATTGCAACCCCATTGCAATCCCGTTGCAACCCTATTGCAACCCCTTTGCAACCCTATTGTGTCCCCACTGCGGCGCCTTTGAAACCCCATTGCAGTCCCACTACAACCCCATTGCAACCCCACTGTAATCCTATTGTGTCCCCTTTGAAATCCCACTGCAACCCCAGCGCAGCCCCATTGCAACCCCATTGCAGCCCCATTGTGTCCCCTTTGAAACCCCATTGCAGCCCCACTGCAACCCTATTGCAGCCCCATTGAAACCCCATTGTGTCCCCTTTGAAACACCGCTGCAATCCCATTGCAGCCCCTTTGCAACCCCACTGCAACTTCATTGCAGCCCCATTGCAACCCCATTGCCCCCCTATGCACCCCCTGGCAGGCCCCCCCTCCCCCCCCCCACATCCCCAGCCCACCCCCACCTCACCATACCCCACACCTCTGCCTCCCCCTGCCCCCAGCACCCCCCCACACCCCCATGGCACTGGGGGGCACGGGGCAGGGTCTGTGCCCCCATGGGAGCTCTGCCCCCGCTGTAGGACGGGGCACGGTGCCGGTGCTTTCCCAGCCAGCGGCCGTGCCGGGAGCTGGGCCACCAGGTGCCGGGGAGGGGTGGCCCGGTGCCACCCACCCCATGCAGCCCCACAGCTGCAGAGGGGGCACGGGGGGCGGCCGGGGAGTTCCTGGGGGGCTGTAAATAGCCCAGTTCCCCCCAGTTCCCCCCAGTTCCCCTTCCGCTCGTCTCGAAAGCGAGAAAGGGAACGTGTGTGTGTGTGTGTGTGTGTCCCACCCCCCCGGGGATGCTCAGGCAAAAGAACTGGTGGATGGGCACTGCTGGTACAAAAGCTATTTTTAATGTTATTAAAATCTGTAAATTTCTATAAATGTCTAAAATAACCGGGGGGGTAGTGGTGGATCTGCTGCGGGGGTGCGCGCGCTCACGGCGGGGCGCAGCCGGCGTCGGGGGGCACCTGGGACTCCTCCTTGCCGCAAGGGGGGAGCCCGGGGAGCAGCGGGATCTGGGGGTCGCCCTCGAAAAGGGGGGCGGCGTGGGGGGCGTAGTGGGCGTGGGGGGCCGGCGGCCGGAGCAGGAGCTGGTGCAGGGTCTCGCCCACCTGCACCAGGCTGTGGGAGAGGAGGTGGAGGTGGGAGACGGTGTCGCTGGCCAGGCTCTCCAGCAGCGCCTGCTGCTGCCGCGACGTCTGCAGGATCTGCACCAGCAGCTGCTGCACGCTCTGCAGCAAGCCCGCCACGCCGCCGCCTGCAGCAAAAAGCGGGGTCAGGGGAAGCCCACCCCTCACCATGCGCCCCGGGGGGCTTTGGGGGGGCACCCACCTTGCAGGCTCGTGTCCGCTGAGTCTTCGCCCACCGCGTGCTCGCTCGCTGCAGCCATCCCCGGGGAGCCTGGGTTTCCTCGCCCCATCCCTGGGGACGTCTCACCAGGAAAACCTGCGGCCAGGGGTTGGCACGGAGGGCGCAGCGGGGTCCTGGGGATCCCCGCTCAGCCTGTCCCCGCTGCCCTGTGCCGGGGAGAGGGCACAGACTCACCTGCCTTCAGCTCGGCGCTCTCCTCTTTCAGGCAGCCTGCGGGAGAGCAGCGGTCACCGGGGGATGGCTCCGGCCCCGCGGCGACATGAGCTCGGTGGCTGGGGCACGGTACTCACCCGGGAGGGGTTGGGGAGGGATGCAGCAGCTGGTACCTGCAACGGGAACAGGCTCAGAGCCTGATTACAGGGTTGAAAGGGGGGAAATGAGGACAAGGAGAGCCTTACGTGGGGTGGCCGCGGGGTCGGGCGATGCTCCATCGACGTGGTCCCCGCGGGCTGCAGGGAGAGAGCAGAGAGGAGACGCGGGGTCTGGCGGCACCCGCCGGGGGATGGCATCAGCCCGGGGTCTGCCTCGCTGCCCCGGCCAGCCTGGCGTGCCCTAGCCACAGCTCCCCAGCGCCCTGCGGGGCCTCAAAGCGCCTCCCGAGCTAGGAACAAAAGCAGGAGTCACTCACCCACCACTGCAATGCAGCCACCTCCGGGCTGGAAGGCAGCAGCTGCGTAGCGGCGCACGGCCAGGCTACGCAACAGATTAGGGCTGGAAGTGAAGGAGAATCCCACATCCACTTGAAACTGCAGGGGGAATTTAGGGAGACAACGTAATTACCCGGTGCGGATGCTGGCCAGGATGCCGGGGTTCGCTCCCCCAGTGCCAGCGGGGCCAAGGGGGGGGACACGAAGCAGCAGCCGGGGCTTCCCCAGCACCGGGCCCTTCTCTGCTCCTGTTTTTGGGGAGGTGTTTCGCCTGGTCCGCCCCGCAGCCCCGATCCCTGCTGGTGAGGGGAACAGCACCCGCTCCCTTCACCTGCCCGCACACACGGGCCCAGGGACGGATCCTGCATCGCCTCGGCACCGTCCGGGTGCGCTGCAGGATGGGGATGCTCCCGGCTCCATCCCTCACACCCAGTCCCAAATCCTCCAGAGCTCTGCAGCGTGCCGTGCCCTGAGGCCAGCTCCGAGCCAGGGACACCCCCCCTCCGCCCCCATCCCAGCTGACCCCAAACCCTCTTGCTGCAGGGCTGATTTGGAGCCAAACTTGGGGGGTGGGAAGTTCCCACACCCCATCCGCGAGCATCCCAAAGGGAACACACCATGGTGGGGCCCTCCAGGGACAAAAGGCCCCCTGACAACCCCCGTGCCCCCCCGTCCCTGCATGCTGGCACAGGCTTGAGCTGTGGCGGTGGCCGTGCAGCCCGGCGCGGCGGGGCAGGACGGTACTTACGGCTCTCCGGCTCGTCCTTTGGGCACTGCAGCAGCGGTGCCAGCAGCACGGCGGGGGTCTCTGCAGCAGCTGGGGTGCAGCACGCAGACAACAGCATCAGCAAGGGGGCCCTGAGGGGTGCAGGACACCCCCCGGCCACGACAAGCCCCCCTCCAGCTGCCCCATCCCGTGGGTACCTGGCGGTGCCGGCGAGCGTGCGGCCAGCGACCTGCGCTTCCTGGGGGGCGGCTTGACCAGCTCTACAAGGGGAAGGAAAAAGCTCAGATCAGGGCATCACGGACCCTGTGCAACACCGGGGAGCCCGCACTTCCCCAGCACCCACCGGGCAGCCGCCTCTCCCCAAAAACGGGCCGCCCGGCCGCCTTCCAGATGCTCTTCATGGTGCGGTAGTGCGGGGGCAGGCGCGACGAGTGCCGCCCGGCACGGCGGCGCGTCTCCCGCTCCGAGTGGAAAGCCTGCTTCAGTGCCTTCCACTTGGAGCGGCACTGGGCCACGCTACGGCCGTAGCCGGCCGCCGCCAGCCCCCGGGAGATCTCCTGCCACAGCGCCTCGTTGGGCCACGACGTGGAGGCCATCAGCAGGGCGGCCTCTCCGGAGCCTTCCACCAGCGCCAGGAGGCTGCTGACCTCCGCTGGTGTCCAGGCTCGCCCGCGGGGCATGCTGTGGGGTGGCTGGGGTGGCTAGGGTGGGGGGAAGGAGGGTGGGTGCCAGGCGGGGCTCGCCCTCGGGGGTCGGATGCGCGCTCTCCAGGGAGCCCCGTGCGCCCGCGATGGGGCTGCACCGGGGATGGGTGCGCGCTGCGCCGGGAGCTGCACCGGGAGCTGCACCGGGAGCTGCTGGGAGCAGCCGTGGAGCCGCAAGGAGCATGTGCAGCCCCTGGAAATTGCCGCTGGGAAACGTAGTCCTGGCCGTGCCTGCCCCTCCCGGCACATCAGGGGATGAGCATCCCCAGGGTGCTGCCCCCCAAACCCTCAGGGCACGGCAGGGGTGCGCATCAGGGCGCAGGGAGGGGACGCAGCGCCCCAGCCCCCCCTCCCCCCGGCTTTCCAGGGCTGCGATGGAGTGGTAATTCGTGTTAAGAAGAGGGTTGGTATTAATAAAGAAGGGGGAGAGGTGGGAGTGTGGCCATGGGGGTCGGAAAGCCCCGTGGTTGAGGGTAACATTAGGCTCTTAACGATGAGGCCATCAGGAATGTAAAGAGTTTAGAGGGAACAAAGAAGGGTGATTCAGGAGACGCCACGCCGTCTCGGGTTGCTTGTTCCCCAGCCATTAAGGCATGGAAGTTGCTGGGGGTTTGCTGTTTGCTGTTGTTTGCAAAGTTGTTTGGCCAATGAAAAGCTGTTTTTGAAAAGGACTGCTGTGGGGAAAAGGGTATAAGAAGGGAGCATGCCCTCAAGATAATAATAATAAAAAAAAAAGCAACACGATGAAGTTGTGTCATCAATAAAGAAGCAGAGAGAAGGGATGAAAAGGAGCAGGCTGGCAGAACGGAGACCAGGACGGGAGCAGGCACACTGATCGCCTCATGAAGATACATGTGGGTTCAGCCAGACTCAGCAAACTGCTCAGAGAAACTCATACAGAAAGTCGCTGGAAATGGGCGCACTGGAGATGGGTACGCTTTTCTTCGATCTGGGAAGAACGGGATACATAAGGCCTGAAGACCGAGTTGCTTGACAACTTAAAGCGGGACATATTGTTCAAAAGGAATGGAAAATGGAGACTGTTGTGGAGGACATTGATAGTAATAGGCTTAAAGGATTGTTTTTTGCCTTTTCTGGTTGTACATATGTACAGGATATATGGGTGCACTCGCATTTAGTACGTAAAAGCCATGTTCTGTATGTTTAGGTTTGATGTTCATGTGTCCGTGTTGTTAGAGCACAGACCCCACGCTCCCAGCGCTGTTTGCTCGCCTTTTATAACTCTTCCTGAATTCACATCGAGTGGAGACTTCATTTAAACAGCCCCATGCAAAAGAGGTGGCAGGAACCACCTCTGCACCACAGCCCTGCTGCTCGACAGCAGGCAGAGCCTGGGGACGTGGAGGCAGCCCCGCACCCCGACGGTGCTGGGGGTCCCTGGATTTGGGATCAGCCTCGATACGTCCCCAATACACGCCTGAGACAGCACTGGGGGGCGTGGGGTGCCCCCGTGCCAGGGGTCCCTCCTGCCTGGGGTTCCCCTTCTCCCCGTGTGACTCTGCTGCTGGGGCCCCCCAGGGCTGTGACCCAGCTGGTGTCCCTGGGGACCCCTCCGGGAAGTGACGCTTTCCATTTCGTGTCACACTCGGCTGCCAAAGGGGGGCCAGGAGGGGGCTGCTGCTCCCCCCTTACCTGCAGGGTGCACGGCCAGACACCAAGGGGAGGATGGAAGAGGGGGTCACGTACGCAGATCTGCGCTTGCCCCCCGTACCAGGTAACGGCACGCTGCACCCCGCTGCCCCCCACCCTCCCCAAATCCCTCCCTGCCTCCCCAAATGCCCCCAGCCCCGCTCCCTCCTCACCCATGCAGCTGCTCTCAGAGCAGAGGGGGCACAAGCACTGCACCTCAGCTGCATGGCACCCCCCTGACACCCCCTGTGAGCTCCTGCTCACACCACTGCTCCGCTGTCCCTGGGGAGCCTGGGGACCCCCCCATGCGCCCTGCTTGGGGCTCACCGATCTTTGCTGGTTTGGGGGCTCTCCCCCCAACCCTGAGCCCCCAGGACACGAGGTAATTCCCTCTCTCAGCTCCCCCACAGCCCGTGAAGCTGCCCTGGCACTGGGCACCCCTCAGCCTGGGAGTCCTGTCCCTGCTGCTCCTGCTGGTGCAAGTCATCCTGGTCGGCTTGAGCTTCCACTGTGAGTACTCCCTGCGCCCCCCCCATCCAGCAGCCCCCCCGAGCTGGGGACCCTCCTGCTTGGGGCTGACGGTACCGCAGGTTTCTGGGCTGTGGGGTGAGTGTGAAAAGCGGTGAGTTAAAATAAAACACCCCTCGCCTGGCTGGCTGGAGCGCCGAAGAGGAAGGAGAGGGGAAAGCGTGGGCTTGGGGACGGCGCCGGGGCACCCCGCTCCGTCAGCTGGCCACTGCGTGCAGACAGGACGTGACGCTGGGGCCAAAAGGCAGAAACCTGCCATGTGCTGGGCTCCCAGCCACGGCACACACCGCCAGGGCTTTGTCCAGCTGGGCTGGCACGGCACCATGAGGGGGGACAGCCCCTGGTGGGGACGCTCCTGTGCCTTTCTTTTGTAGATCTAGCCCATCAGGCGAGCTGTGCCCAGAGAGAGGAGAAGAGCCTCAGCTACGTGCAGCAGTCTTTGCGAGGTAGGAGGGCTTCCAGACACCTTCCTGGGCTCCCTGTCCTGGTGGCACCCTGTCTGTCCCCTGTCACCCCACGGTGCTGGGGGCTGGGGACAGCCCCGTCCCGGCCAGCCCTGCAGGATCGTGCCTCTGGTGTGCAGAGAGCTGCCAGTTCTGCCCGGCCGGATGGATGGGGGACGCGGGGCGCTGCTACTACTTCTCCTCTGCCAAGAAGGGCTGGGAGCAGAGCAAAGACGACTGCTGCTCCAGGGGGGCGCAACTGGCCACTGCCCGAGCCAACAGCACCCTGGTGAGTCCATCCGCCTGCCCCGGCCATCCCGACCCCCCCGTGGTCATCAATTCACTCTGATCACCACCTCAGGGTCCCCCCAGTGGCTCCCCAGTCACCACCAGCATCGTTTCAGCTCCCCAGCTCCAGCCCCTTTGCCCAAACCCCAGCGGGGAGCTGGCGATGCTGTGCCCAAACCGCACAGCCCCCTGCGTGGCTGGGTGTCCCCGGGGAGCCCTCACTTGTTCCCTCCTGCTCTAGGCTTTCCTGACACGCGTGGCCCACCTGGACACCTTCCACGTGGGGCTGAAGCGGGACAACCCCAGACCTGAGTGGAAGTGGCTGGACGGCACCGTGATGAGGGGGTGAGGCTCGCAGCTTGTCCCCTGCCAGCACTGCTGAAAACCCAAAAACAGGGCTCCGGGAGGTGACAGGGGGACGGTCAGCCTACAGGCAGGGACACGGTCACCCTCTTGGCCATCCCTCTGCTTCCCAAAGCAGCACGGGGGCGTTTTAGGGAAGGGAAGATAACAGGGACACGTACCCAGTGCCTGCGCCCTGCTTGAGGACGAGCTTGGGGCTGGATGAGGGGCTGGGGGGGGAGGGGTCTCCCAAAACCAAATTCCCAGCACGGCGCAGCTGGTGCTGAGCCACCTCAGGACATTCCTGGGATCCAAAAAAGAGGATTTCCAAGACAAGCAGGGGCTGGGTGTGCAGGGATCACAGCTCGCTTCCTCACCAGGGGCACGGGGAGGGCGCGCTCTGCCCCCCGGCACCCCCACAGCCTCGGCTCCAGGAGGAGCTGGGGGTGGGCCAGCCCTTCACACCCCACTGAGTCCCCCCTCTCCTCGCTCCCCCCTGCAGGCGCCTCCCCTTCCAGCGCCCCAGCAGCTCCTTCATGGCTTGTGGCAGGGTGTCCAGCTCGGGGCTGTCGGCTGGCTTGTGCGGGGAAGCCCTCGGCTGGGTCTGCGAGAAGAGCGCGGTCACCCTGCAGTGGCTGCCGTCCTCCATCCCCACCTTCCTCTGGGGGAACACCACCTACACCTGCGTGGGGCCCTAGGGCCTTGGGGACAGCCTGGGTGCTCCTACAGCCCTGTCTGACCCGAGCACAGGCACCCCAGGGTGCCCCCTCTCCATCCCTCCCCCTGGCATGTTTGCGCATTGCCAATAAACTCTGGCACTCACACTGTCTGGCTCTTTTTTGGGGGGACGAGGTTTGGGGGGCAGAGCCAGCAGCCATCCGAGTGTCCCCATGGCCTGGTGGCCACGTGGAGCAGCTTCTGCGTGGGTGCAGTGGGTGTCCTTGGGGTTTGGGCTGCCTGGGGTTTGTCTCAGGTGGGAGGTGCCCCACGCTGACAGCTCCGCATGGAAAACCCCGGGTGTCCTCCCAGCACGGGAGGCAGGTGCAGCCCCCTCCTCATTTCTGCCTGATCACTGAGCTGGTGCTGGGATGGGGAAAGGGACATGGGGGGAGAATGGTCCAGCTGTGGCCAGGGCTCCAGGTAGCCCAGGGTGGCCAAAATGCGCCCAGAGCTGTGCGTAAATGATGCAGCATGGGGCAGAGCGCACTGCGTGGGATGGAGAGGAGCAGTTTCCCCTCCCGGAACAGTCCTGCCCATGAAATAAAAACCACATCTTGCAAATGAAGTGATTACTTCTGCTTTCCTACATATCAAGAAGTTCCTCCACCTGACGTGCCTCGGGGCCACACGGCAGCCATAGGACGGAGCTGCCGCGGGTGCCGCATGGCGCACAGCGTGCTCTACGCCGACCTGCGCTTCGCCAAGGGGCCACGGGGACACAGCATGGCCAGCGGAGTGCTGGGGGCAGGTGGGAGCCGCGGGACCCCCCCCAGTTTCCCCGTGCCGGACCCCTGCCCACTGCCCCCTGCCTTCCTCCTGCAGCCCCCGGCATGGATGAGGCCGACAGCCCCTATGAGAACGTGGCACCGGGGCCAGCACCCGTGAGGCCGGCTGGGGAAGGGACCCGGCACAGCCCAGGTGAGCTCCCAGAGGGGGATGGGGACAGGGACGGGGGTCTCGCGGGGGTGCTGGGGTCCCCTCTGCTCCCCGGCACCGTGGGTGACGCCGCGGCCGCTCGTGTCTTGCAGGGCGCTGCTCCCGGCGGCGCTGCGTCCCCGCGGGGCTGCTGGCAGCCAGCCTGCTGCTGCTGGTGGCCCTGGTGGCCCTGGGAACCTGCTGTGAGTGGGGACGGGCACGGCGGGGTGGGGGGCTCCGGGCAGGGGCTGGGGGACGGGGCGAGCCTGGGGTGGGGGCTGTGGGTTCCTCACTGGGTGCCCTGCGCTGTGCCTGGCTGGGACGGCTTCCAGTGCCTCCGTCTGCTTCCCAGTGCCTTCCCAGTGCCTTCCCAGTGCCTTCCCAGTGCATTCCCATCTCAATCCCATTACCTCCCACCCCTTCCCACTGAATCCCTTCCCTTCCACCACTTCCCATCACCTCCCAGTGCCTCCCATTTGCTCCCAGTTGCTTCCCATCTCTTCCCACTCTTCCTCATTGCCTTCCCATTGCCTCCCACCAATTCCCATTGCCTCTTAGTTGAAGTCCCACTCCCTCCCATTGCCTCCCCTTCATTCCCACCACCTCCCATTGACCCCCAGTTGCACTCCCATCACCTCCCAGTGCCTCCCATTGACTTTGAGTTGACTTCCCCACACCTCTCCCTGCCTTCCCAGTGCCTCCCATTGGCTCTCCATCACCTCCCACTGCCTTCCAAGAGATTTCCCACTTCCTCCCATCACCTTCCATCACCTCCCATCACTTCCCAGTGCCTTCCAGTTGATTTTCCATTGTCTCCCAGTGCCTCCATCACCTCCCATCACCTCCCACCACCTCCCCATCGTCTCCCCACTGCCTCCCTTCCCCTCCACAGCCTCACCCCCCACACCCGGCCATGCCCCGTGTCCCACCTCACCCCAAACCCTCCCCAGACTGGCAGGCGACCCGCGAGCTGCGGGACACGTCCCTGGAGCAGGCGGCCGAGCGCGGCCGCTTCTCGCAGGAGGCGCGGGCGTGGGAGCAGAGCCTGGAGCAGGCGCGCCGGGAGCTGGCGCAGGCGCGCACGGAGCTGCAGCGAGCGTGGCGAGAGGGCAACAGCAGCCTGCTGGAGCTGGGCAGGCAGGAGGCCGAGCTGGCACGAGTCTCGGGGGCCCTGGCCGGCGCCCAGAGAGAGCTGCAGGACGTGCAGGGGCGCCTGGAGGCCAGCGAGCGTGCGGCCAGCAGCCTGCGCGCCTGCCTGGACGCAGGTAGGGCCGCGGGGCGGTGGGCACGGGGCGGCGCGGCCAGGGGCTGGCGAGCGCCTGAGCGGTGCCCCCGTTCCCAGACTGCTGCCCCCCGGGCTGGCTGCTCTACCACGGCAAGTGCCTCTTCGTGTCCTCGGAGAAGAAGAGCTGGCGGCTGAGCCAGGACGACTGCGAGGGGAGAGCCTCCCAGCTGCTGCTGCACGACGAGCGGCAGGGGTGGGCGCTGCCGGTACGGGGGGGCTGCGCTGGGGAGGGGGTGTCCCCGCTGCCCACAGCCCCCAGCCCCGTGCCCGTCCTGCTGCAGCACGGCCCCGGCACTGCCAAGCGTGGGGCAGGCCCTGACGGCCTCTCTCCCGCAGCCTTTCCTGCTCGAGGGCAGCACCAAGTACTGGGTGAAGCCGAGGACCAAAAATGCTGTGAGGACGGAGGAGGACTTTGGGTGGGTGAGTGGGGCAAGCTGCCCCTCTGCACCTCACCCTGCTGGGGACTGATGCTCGGGCAGGGGCTGCTCTGGCCTGCCTGGGGCTGGCAGCGGGCTGGGGACACGGTGGCACACGCCACCCTGTCCCTCTCACATGCTCCTTTCCTTCTAGGTACACGTGGCTTTGGGAATGCACACTGATGGGCTCCGGGATTGTGGATCTCACATACTGCTACAGGTCTTACCACTGGGTCTGCGAGCAGCCCCCCAAGCTCAGCAACCTGTCCGAGATGCTCTCTCCTCTCCTGGCTAGGGGCTGACCCCGGCACCCATTCTCTGGGGGTGTAGTTTGGGAACGGAGGTGTTGGGCAGTTAAAGGATGATTTGTGGAGAAGAGCCTGGCTGTCTGAGTCTCACTGCCGCGCATGCCCACAGCCCCCTGCCCTCCTTTCCTGGCTCTCTGTGAGCACACAGCAAGCCCTGCTCGCACCTGCTGCACGGCAGGCACCTCTTGCACCTTCTGGACCTGGCTGCGATGGTGCCATCGGTGTCCCCAACCTGTCCCCCTGGGGGAGTCCCTTGGTTTTATCGGCTGCTCCATCGCCGGCTGTCGATGACTTGGGATTTGCCAAGGAGAGGTGGCACCTGCCCAACCTGCCTGCCTGCCACCACGGGGAGCACTGGGCTGGGGACACGGGGACAGCAACGTGGCTCTTTCACTGTGACCCTTTAGGGCTGGGACACTGAGAAATTGGGCTGGTGGGAACAGGAGAGCAGGCAGCCGTGTCGGAGGGGCCCCGGGGACCCAGGAGCAGGAGGCTGTGCAGGACTCCCTGTGGTGGCAGCACCCAAGGGCATGGTGGTGCTGCGGTGGCTGGAGCTCGGGGAAGCCCCTGGGCTGCCCAGGACCATCCGGACAGGCACAGACACACCAAGTCCTCGTTTCCCACTGAGCTGAGCTCTTGGTGCACCTCCCAGCTCATCTCTTCCAGCCTCACCACGCTGTGGCCCGGCTCCACCAGCGTCCTTCCACACCTCTCCTCTCTCAGGAGCTGCCTAGGTCCAGGTCCAAAGTGGTCCTCGCCTCCACCACCTCTCTGGAGGTGCCATTTCCCAAAAGCCCTGAGCGAGCAGGGAGGGTCAGGGCTGTCCCCGGGGTCCCTCATTGTCCCCCCAGGCTGTCCCCCCTCACTGGTCCCACCATGGTCTTGGAGATCTTCCCCCCGAAGTGTCAGAGCTCTCCCCTTTCCCCCATCTTCCCAATCCTCCCCCATCCCTCCTATGGCTTTCAGGATCCTCACTGCACCCCCGTTTCCTCCCATGGCCCTAAGGGCTCCCCAATTTTTCCCCCACGGCCTCAGGGCCCCCCATTGCACCCCCATTTCCCCCGACATCTCGGGGCTTCCTTGCTGGCCCCAGGGAATGGGAGGCTGGCCGGGGCACATGGGGACACGAGCATGGGTCTGAGGGGCAGGAGCAGGGTGGTACGAGTGCGTGCATGCGTGAGAGAGAGGGGAACAAGGTCTGTATTCCTTGCTTTACAACACAGACAGCGCTCAGCTCTCCCAGCCCGTCTTCCCAGCGCTTTGCCATGCGGCGCAGGCAGTGTGTGCACGGTGGGGGGGTGTTTCTGGGGGCACCCCCAGCATCCTGTGACGGAGAGGGGGGGGGTGGCAGCACGGTCACTCCTCGTCCAGGAGCGATGCGAGGGCCTTGGACACGCTGCTGAGCCTCGGGGGCTGCTCGCAGATCCACTGGTGGTACCTCCTGCATGATGACCGCTCAATGCCTTTGGCTGCTGACAGCGAGCACTTGGCAGGGTAAGGGTGCCTAGGGGGGAAAGCATGGGTCAGTGGGGCAGGGACAGAGTCCCCATTGAAACCATCTCTTCCCGTGGATGCTGGCATGGGTAAAACCCCTCCAGGAGCCAAGCAGAGCTGGTTTCACAAGGCTTTGGGCACTTGGTGCTTTGCATGCCCCAGGGATGCGCATCCCCGCTTGGGGAATGGGCACAGCACCCCAAAAACGTGTTGTACCCAAGGTGTTTTGGGGCATCCCTCCGAGGAGGCTCCCCTGGGGGGTAGCAGCACCTCCTGGGCATGGGTAAAAGGGAAACCTGAGGGCGTGGTGCCCGTGCCAGGGATGGCTGTATTTACATCTCATACAGCTCCTCGTCCTGCTGCACGACCAACCCGGCGGCGCTGGCAATCTGCTCCTCCACCCAGTACTTGGAGCCGCTGGTGTGCAGGAAAGGCTGCGGGAGAGAGGCCGTCAGGGCCTGCCCCACGCTTGGCAGTGCCGGGGCCGTGCTGCAGCAGGACGGGCACGGGGCTGGGGGCTGTGGGCAGCGGGGACACCCCCTCCCCAGCGCAGCCCCCCCGTACCGGCAGCGCCCACGCCTGCCGCTCGTCGTGCAGCAGCAGCTGGGAGGCTCTCCCCTTGCAGTCGTCCTGGCTTAGCCACCAGTTCTTCTTCTCCGAGGACACGAAGAGGCACTTGCCGTGGTAGAGCAGCCAGCCCGGGGGGCAGCAGTCTGGGGACGGGGGCACCGCTCAGGCGCTCGCCAGCCCCCGGCCGCGCCGCCCCATGCCCGCCGCCCCGTGGCCCTACCTGCGTCCAGGCAGGCGCGCAGGCTGCTGGCCGCACGCTCGCCGGCCTCCAGGCGCCCCTGCACGTCCTGCAGCTCCCTCTGGGCGCCGGCCAGGGCCCCCGAGACTCGTGCCAGCTCGGCCTCCTGCCTGCCCAGCTCCAGCAGGCTGCTGTTGCCCTCTCGCCACGCTCGCTGCAGCTCCGCGCGCGCCTGCGCCAGCTCCCGGCGCGCCTGCTCCAGGCTCTGCTCCCACGCCCGCGCCTCCTGCGAGAAGCGGCCGCGCTCGGCCGCCTGCTCCAGGGACGTGTCCCGCAGCTCGCGGGTCGCCTGCCAGTCTGGGGAGGGTTTGGGGTGAGATGGGACGCGGGGCATGGCCGGGTGTGGGGGGTGAGGCTGTGGAGGGGAAGGGAGGCAGTGGGGAGACGATGGGGAGGTGGTGGGAGGTGATGGGAGGTGATGGGAGACAATGGGAAATCAACTGGAAGGCAGTGGGAAGTGATGGGAGGTAATGGAAGGTGATGGGAGGAAGTGGGAAATCTCTTGGAAGGCAGTGGGAGGTGATGGAGAGCCGATGGGAGGCACCGGGAGGTGATGGGAGGCACTGGGAAGGCAGGGAGAGGTGTGGGGAAGTCAACTCAAAGTCAATGGGAGGCACTGGGAGGTGATGGGAGTGCAACTGGGGGTTAATGGGAGGTGGTGGGAATGAAGGGGAGGCAATGGGAGGGAGTGGGACTTCAACTGGGAGGCAATGGGAATCGGTGGGAGGCAATGGGAAGGCAATGAGGAAGAGTGGGAAGAGATGGGAAGCAACTGGGAGCAAATGGGAGGCACTGGGAGGTGATGGGAAGTGGTGGAAAGGAAGGGAATCAGTGGGAAGGGGTGGGAGGTAATGGGATCGAGATGGGAATGCACTGGGAAGGCACTGGGAAGGCACTGGGAAGGCACTGGGAAGCAGACAGAGGCACTGGAAGCCGTCCCAGCCAGGCACAGCGCAGGGCACCCAGCGAGAAGCCCCCAGCCCCCATCCCCAGGCTCCCCCCAGCCCCCAGCCCCTGCCCGGAGCCCCCCATCCCGCTGTGCCCGTCCCCACTCACAGCAGGTCCCCAGGGCCACCAGGGCCACCAGCAGCAGCAGGCTGGCTGCCAGCAGCCCCGCGGGGACGCAGCGCCGCCGGGAGCAGCGCCCTGCAAGACACGAGCGGCCGCGGCGTCACCCACGGTGCCGAGGAGCAGAGGGGACCCCGGCAGCCCCCCGAGACCCCCATCCCCATCCCCCTCTGGGCGCTCACCTGGGCTGTGCCGGGTCCCTTCCCCAGCCGGCCTCACGGGTGCCGGCCCCGGTGCCACGTTCTCGTAGGGGCTGTCGGCCTCATCCATGCCGGGGGCTGCAGGAGGAAGGCAGGGGGCAGTGGGCAGGGGTCCGGCACGGGGAAATGGGGAGGGTCCCGCGGCTCCCACCTGCCCGCAGCACCCCGCTGGCCATGCCGTGTCCCCGTGGCCCCTTGGCGAAGCGCAGGTCGGCGTAGAGCACGCTGTGCGCCATGCGGCACCCGCGGCAGCTGAAAGGAGAAGTGAGGCCGGCGCTCGCAGAAGCAGAAGTTGGCTGCGAGCCGTGGCAGATGGGACCAGCGAGGCACAGCCATGGGGACCGGCCCCTTGCCATGGCAGCAGCAGCCCCAGCACGTCCCCTCCCACGCCCCGAGAGCCGACAGCGTCCCCTGGGTGCACCGCGGCTCTCGGGCAGCGGTTTGTGGGGGCACGGGCAGGGCAGAGGTGAGCCCAAATTTCTGGGGCTTAGGGAAAGCCTCTTCTTGCTCCTCCTCTGTGCTGACATCCATCTCTCCCCAGGGAATGAGGAGAGCCACGGCCACCTTCAGAGGGGCCAAGGAGGAGTCTGAAGAGAGAAAGTTTCAGCAGCTTCCCCCCAGTCTTCAGCCAGGAGATGGAGCACATCCTGTGGGGCACGTGGTGACCAGGGGGGACACAGTGCTGGCTGAGTGGGATTTGTGAAGGAGCTCTGGGAACAAGTGTCCCCATGGGCTGGGGACACGGGGACAGCAATGGGGGCCTTGCACCGTGACCCTTCAGGGCTGGGACATGGAAAAATGGGCTGGTGGGGACAGGAGAGCAAGGGGCCGTGCTGGATGAGCTGGGGGGACCTGGCACAAATATCCTGGCACAAATATCCTGGCACAAATAAATACCCATCACAAATGTCCATCTCCACCTGGGGGTGGCTGGAGGGGCACCGGGGTCCCAGCTCTCCCCAGGAGCCCCTGGGATGCGAGGAGGTGCAGGAGCTCGAGGTGCCCCCCGCAGCCCCCTTTAGGGCGAACATTTCCACCCCTGCTGCCTGCCTGGGGGAGCGCTGCCTCACCCGGTCCTGCTCAGGAGATTTGGGTCCCCCCCTCACCCCGCTGAGCCCCAGGGCTCAGCCCCACGCCACTGTGCACCCAGGGGCCCGTGACGGCTCTCGGGGCGTGGGAGGGGACGTGCTGGTGGCGCTGGGGCCGCGGGGAGGGGGCCGGTCCCCGCGGCCGTGCTTCGCTGGTCCCATCTGCCACGGCTCGCAGCCAACTTCTGCTTCTGCGAGCGCCGGCCTCACTTCTCCTTTGCACCCCGAGACGGGCAACCGCCAGGCAGCGGGGCCACCCCACAGGCACCCCACAGAGCCGGGCGGGAGCCAGCAGGGATCGGGACTTGCCCGGCATCTTCCCGCATGGCACAGAGCGTGCTCTACGCCGACCTGCGCTTCGCCAAGGGGCCGGGGGGCCGTGGCACGGCCAGCCAGGCACTGGAGGCAGGTGAGAGCTGCAGGACCCCCACATTGCCCTGTGCCGTGCCCAGATTTGTTGGCTCCATGCCCCCTGCCTTCCTCCCGCAGCCTTAGGCATGGACGAGGCCGAGAGCCCCTACGAGAACATGGCATCGGGGCCGGCACCCGCGGGGCCGGCTGGGGAAGGGACCTTGGAAAGCCCAGGTGAGCGCCCAGAGGGGGACAGGGCACCTGGAGACATCCTGCTGTGGGCAGTGGGTGGTGCCTGAGGGTGCTCCCCATCTCCCCTTGGAGAGATGAGGCGCCCACGCCGTGCCACCTGTGCCACCCTGCTGCCACCGCGGGGCTGGCCTGGGGTGGTGGTGGTGGCGGTGGGTGATGCTTGGGGCTCCTCGTGTCTTGCAGGGCGCTGCTCCCGGCGGCTCTGTGTCTCTGCGGGGCTGCTGGTCACCTGCCTGCTGCTGATGGTGGCTGCCGTGGTCCTGGGGGCCTGCTGTGAGTGGGGACGGGGCGGTAACGAGGCATGGGGACAGGGGAGAGGGGACGGGGTGGGTGCCACAGGCGGATATCAGGTTGTGTGTGTGTCTGTGGGTCCCCCTGCCCTGTCTGCCCCTGGCTGGCCAACGTCTCTCTCACATCCTGCGCATCTCCCTCAACCATCTTCTTCTTTCCTTCTCCTGCCCCTGCCCTGCCCTCCCCTGCCACCTCCACGCTTCCCTGCCTCCCCCATCCCTTCCCACCCGGCGAGGACACCTCCCTGCCCTCACACCCCATGCCCCGCGTCCCACCTCACCCCAAACCCTCCCCAGACTGGCAGGCGACCCGCGAGCTGCGGGACACGTCCCTGGAGCAGGCGGCCGAGCGCGGCCGCTTCTCGCAGGAGGCGCGGGCGTGGGAGCAGAGCCTGGAGCAGGCGCGCCGGGAGCTGGCGCAGGCGCGCACGGAGCTGCAGCGAGCGTGGCGAGAGGGCAACAGCAGCCTGCTGGAGCTGGGCAGGCAGGAGGCCGAGCTGGCACGCGTCTCCATAGCCCTGGCTGGTGCTGAGAGAGAGCTGCAGGACGTGCAGGGGAGGCTCAACACCAGTGAGAGCACTGTGAGCCTGCTGCGCTCCTGCACGGCTGTAGGTATGGTGATGGAGCGGCCCCAGCACTTCTGGGTGGCCGCAGCACCGAGGCACGGGTGCTGGGTTTTGGGGGGTGTGGTGCACCCCCCCCCCCATGAATCTGCAGCCTGGTGGGTGGCTGAGCGGTGCCCCCCTGTCCCCAGACTGCTGCCCCTCGGGCTGGCTGCTGTACCGCGGCAAGTGCCTCTTCGTGTCCTCGGAGAAGAAGACGTGGGATGACAGCAGAGCGGAGTGCGAGAGAAAATACTCCCAGCTCCTGATCACCAAGTCCTGGAGTCGCTGGACCGTGCCAGTATGGAGCTGGGGCACCCCAGGGGCATCGGGTGGCACGGGGTCGGAGCGGGGCACCAGGGCTGGTCAGCTTTGGTGGGGAGATGAAGAACTCAAACAGCACAAAAAACAGCACGAAAAAGCCCCAGAATGACCCTGTTGCTCCTTCCCCAGACCTTCCTGAAGAACGCGGACACCGTGTACTGGATCGGGCTGCAGAAGACCAGCTTCCCCTGGTATGACTACGGCTGGCTGGAGGAAGGGGAGCCGGACAGCGACGGCATCACGGACGCCTGGTTCTGGGTGGACGGCTCGCTCTACGACAGGTACCCACGGCACGGCCGGGCTGGCACCCCCTGCCCGGACCCCTTTCTGCGAGGGGGGACAAAAGGAACCTCAGGCTTTATTTGGGATCGAGACAAAGCATTTGGGCACCACTCTTTTCTCCCACTTGCCTCCCCGGTCATCCTTGAGGGGAAATCAGAGCTTCCCACCCCGGGGGTCCGGGGCTCCTCCCCGCCACGTGCGTCTCAGCACCGCTTCCTCTTGCGGTGTCTGGAACCGGTGGGGAGGAACGGCCTCGTCTGGCCGGGTGCCCGGCCCCTGCCCCTCGCACCCTCGGGCTTTTCCCCAAAACACTGCTGGTGCTGGCCATCGGCAGGCTCAGCGGGGCTTGGATGCAGCCCCGATGTTGGTGTTTGTCCATCCAGGCCCTGGCAGTCGAAGCTGAACGGGTCCTGTGCCGTGATCAGCCGCGGGAACATCAAGCCGGCGCCGTGCGAGGCTGAGGACGACCTGCACCTCTGGATCTGCGAGAAGGCGGCGGGGCCGAGCGGCCCTTTCATGTGATGGGTGGCAGCTGCTGGCCACGGTGAGCTCAGCCCCCGGGGGTGTGCGAGGAGGGGAGGCAAAGGGGGAAAAATGGGGAAAAAAAAAAACATCCCTGGGTGCCGTCCGCTGAGCACTCCCCCTCTGCCTTCCCTCACAGCGCCCGCACCCCTGCTTCAGCCCTGCTGCACCCCGCGATGGAGCCTGCCCCACGCACATCAGCCCCTTCCCGTGCTGCAGAGCCCTGCCCGACCCCAAACGAGGTGCTACAGCGGGGCAGCACAGCCCCAAAAGCCAGCCCCATGCCCCCAGCAGCGAGCCCCCATGGCCAGCGCCACCGCCGCCGTGCAGTAGCCCCAGCCCTGAGGCTGGAGCAGGGGATAGCACGGCGGCACCTGCCCCCACCCCACTTTTAGGCTTTTAGGATGGCCGCAGCTTTCAGGCAGCTTCAGAGCCCGAGGATGGAGCCATCACCAGCGCTGGCATTTAGGACTTCTGCTAATTAGGGAGCAGCGCAGTGACCTTTAGGATCGCAGCCTTCTGACGGCCCAAGCAGCGCCGGCACTCGCGGTGCTTGGACACGAGACGAGCCACCGGGGATTTTAATAGCTGCCACACGTGCAGCGTGGCCCTGATTTACCTTCAGCCTGGCGAGAGCAGAGGAAGTCATGTTCAACCAGGCAAAGATGCTCTCGGGTTTATTATCGGGCCCTGCGTGCCATTTATAGCCGATTAATTGGTATGTAAATCACCCTGTTTGAAGAGCACAGGGCTGTTACAGGCGGGTTTTGGAGGCGCACGTGTCGTTGCTCTGTCTTGCCCACCGGCTGAACCCACTTTGTAGCAAATAAAGAGCTTGTCTGCTGATTGCCTCTGCCTTCACCACCCCGAAGCGGAACCCAATCATCCCCAAACAGAAATGGGAATTTCACCAAAGCTGCCCCAGTTGAGGCAGACACTTTTGGGGGCACTGTGGCAGGGCTGATTCATCCTGCCAGCCCCCAAGGGACACGGCCAGACCACGTCCTTGTCACCGGGCTCCCCACCCCGCTCAGCGCACCCCCAGAGACACAAGCAGCAGCCCGGCTCGCTGGGACATTCAGTTTTTATTGAACACTTTAAATAAGCTGGGTATATATTACTAGCAATTATTATTATTAATATTAAAAAAACAGAAACAAAAAAGAAAAAAACAAAAAACACAAGAGTTCTGCATTCACCAGTGCACGGTGCGGGAGGGAGGAAAGCCGGCTCCCACCTGTGCTGGGTATCCCCCCCCCCCAGTGCCCTCCCGGCCACTCGGGAGGTGCTGGGGGGCGCAGGCTGCCCTCCACTGAGGGGAGGTGACACGGAGGTGTCCCCCCGACACCGGTGTGGTGGCGGGGCCGGAGGGGGCCCAGTGTGCCAGGGGGCTCAGTGCCAAGAGCTGGCACCCCCCACCTGCACACTGCGCCTCTCCGGCATCGCCCCTCTGCACACCACAGTGCCTCTGGCGTGTGGGGGACCAGGAATGCTCCCCCCCCTTGTGAGGAGGCAGCAAGGACACCCCAAAAAATCCCCATAGTCCCTCCAATACACACATACACACGTGACTGCTCTGCCCCTTCCCACCCTCCCCCCCAAAAAATCTGCTTATCCCCCTTCTCTCCCCCTTCTCTGGGGGGCTCTGAGTGCCCGCCGAGGGGCGAGCCCTTGGGGACAGGGGGGGTCCCGCAGCCACGGCTTGAGCCCTGCGGGGAACCAGCCCTGCTGCCCGGGGCAGCGGTGTTATTGCACTTCAGCCTAGCCCCACCGGGACCCCCGCAAGGACCCAGCCCACCTCGGGGCTCCCCACAGCCCCCCGAGGCCGATCCCAGTGGGACGGGCACCTCGGCAGCGCCGTCGTGGCCACCAGGCACCGGGCGAGCGCGAGGACAGACTCGGGGAGGGGGACACAAAACCCCAGGCTCCCAGAGCCACCCCATGTGCTAGGGGGGGGTCCTGGGGACCCCTGGCCGCAGCCACGGTCCCCAGCACTAGGACTGTGCCTCCGGCAGCTTCAGGCTGGGCTCCGCCAGCATCGGCCCCGGGGCTTTCTGGAGGCGGCCGCGCTCGTGGCAGAGGAGGCTCTTGGCCTCGCAGTTGAGGTTCTGGTAGCGGGGAGGGCTGGGCGCGGGCCGGTGGCAAACGGAGGCGAAGCTGAAGCTGAAAGGCCCCAAGCAGCAGCCGGGGCAGGGCAGCACCTCGTCCTGCTCCAGCACGGTGCCGGCGCTGTGCCCGGGCAGCATGGCCGCGCGCTCCGTCCGCTCCAGCGCCGCAGCGGCGCAGGGGATGCTGAGCTCGGAGAAGCCTCGCTCCAGCTCGCTGCCCCAGGCGTGCGGCTTGCTGACCACCACGTGGTTGTTGTTGAAGAGCAGCCCGTTGGGTGCCCTCGGCTCCGGGTGCCAGGGCTGGGCCCCCGAGGCCGCCGTGCGGATGAAGTTGCTGGTGGCGGGTGCCGGCGCGGGGACCCGCGGTGGCGGCGGCTCGGGGTTGTCGGGGCTGCAGTCCATCTGCTCCTCCGCCGCGGGGCTGAGAGACGAGGCACGGACCCCGTTCTCCAGCTCTTCAGCATCCTCCTGGCCCCGCTTCGGGCTGTGGGGCCGGGCTGGGGACCCCACGCCCAGCTCCAGGCCCCCGCGGCGGGGCAGCTCGGGGGAGGCGGGCAGCGAGTGGCACTTGCGTGGGGCCGCGGCGGGCGCCGAGAAGTCACACTGCACCTCCACGGCTGGCTCGGGTGTGACAGGGGTGCCGAGCTGCATCGGGGCCGGGGGGGGCAGGTCGAAGGTGAGCGAGATGACTGACTTGCTGGGCGTGTCGAAGAGCTTGATCTTGCCCCCCTTCAGGTCCTCGCGCTGGGAGAAGGGGTTGACGCGCGCCGGCGTCTCCTTGGTCCTGGCCCCGACGCAGGGCTCGGCCGGCCGCGGCGGGGTGGGCGATTTGGGGGGGAACACGTCGGACTGGCTGCGGGACAGGCGCTGGTCCGGCTGCAGGTGCTGCGTCCCCAGCTCGCGCAGGGGCGACTGCTCGGCACGGCTGGGCGCCCTCCCGGCCACCCCTGGGCAGGGGCGCAGGACAGGGGGGTCACCGGTGCCCTGGGTGCCCCCCGGCACCACGGGGCAAAACGGGGAGCAGCCGGGCGGTGAGAAGCAGGGCTGCATCCTGCAGACCTCCTCCCACCCCAGCCTGCTCCCCAGTAGCTGTTGGGGTGGGGAAGGGGCACCCCAAACCCCCCCAGACACCCACGTACCGTTGAGCGCAGGCGTGGTGCCGGGTGCGGGCAGGCTGTCCCTGATGCTGAAGAGGGTGGCCCCAGCGCCCTCCACGCCCAGCTGGTGCTGCAGGACGCCCTCCAGGCACTGTGTGATTTCCAGGAACGAGGGGCGGGAGGTCGGCTGCATCTGTAGGCAGGACAGGTCCATGGTGAGGTTTGTGTCCCCTCCCCATACCCTCAGGGTGCACTGCCTGGAAGAGGCTCCAACGGGCAGGGAAGGGGATCCCCGATGGGACGCCAGGAATTTGGGCATCCCCAGGGCTGGGACTCACACTGCAGCAGTGGAAAGCCAGCTGGAGGAAGGCGGCCGGGCAGTCGATTCCCACCATGGTGCGGAAAGCGGTGACGTCCAGGCCAAAATCCTGCACGGGGGAGATGGGGGGGGGGGTGAGGCCAGGTGTTATGGGGCTGCTTAAAGGAAGAGGGGACCCTGGGGTCACCCAGGCTGGGGGAAGGCTGCAGGTGCTGGGCATAAATCCCTTCTGCTCCCTGTCTGAAGGCACCCACCCTCCTGCCTGGGCTGCCCCCAGGCCCCGAGGACAGGCTATGGGCAGAGAGCATCCCCCTTGCTGCCAGGAGACGTTGGGGATGTGGTACCCCCACCCCGAGATGTGGGGCAGCTCCTCAAAACCTCTACCATACGCAGGGGGCTCTGCTCTGTGCATGTCAGTCCCCCTCGTTTGGAGACGTGTCCCCAGCCCCGGTCCCACCAGGTGCCACCCTCGCTCCCCCCTTCCCAGGGTCACCTCGGTGCGGGGCAGGTAGTCGGGGTCCGCGGGGACGCGAGCGATAGTCTCGCACAGGATGATGCCGTAGGCAAACACATCAGCCTGAGGAGAGAGAGGAGTCACGGGGGGGTCCTGCGATGTGTCCCCACTTCTGTCAGCCCTCCCTGCACAGCAGCACCGGGTCCCAGCCCCTTCGGCACCCCAGGGACACCCGTCCCCATCCCTCCGTGCCCCTCCACGTGCCCAGCTGACCCCAGGGCTGCAAACCCTGAAGACGGCCCCACACGGCGTCACCTTCTCGTTGTAGATCTCCCCTCGCAGCACCTCGGGCGCCATCCAGTATGGGGAGCCCACCACGGCCAGTGGCTCCTTCTCGCTGCCCTCGCTGGGGGGGGGACACAGCAGGATGTCAGGGGCCCTGTCCCCCGTGCCCGTACCCCCCAAAACCTCCCTCTCCCTTTTTACACCAGCTCTCCTCCATGCACCCCGTGACTCTTCTCTCCACCAGGCCACCCACACTTCGCCATCACACCCTTCTCCATCCCCAAATCCAGCCCCATATGTCCCCACCACCCCCATCCCTGCCCTTCCAGCTGGACCCCAAAATCCCCCCCTTCCCAGCGAGCTGGATCCCCTTGCTCTGAAGAATGCGACGGACAGACGGACACGCTCCACACACCTGTAGGTGGGGATCTTCTCCGCCAAGCCAAAGTCTCCCACCACAGCCGTGTAGCCGCTGGCCTCGCAGCGCACCAGGCAGTTCTGGAGGGGGGACAGGGAGGACCCCGTCACACCTCGGGCACACCTCGAGGAACAGGGAGGCGAGGGCAGCGGGCCGGCCCCTACCTTGGAGGTGAGGTCGCGGTGGAAGATGCCCTTGGAGTGCAGGTAGCGCAGCCCCCGGGCGATGTCGAGGGCCAGCTGGATGCGCGTGGACCAGGAGAGGAGCACGGGGCTGTCCAGCAGCTGCTCCAGGTTGCCACCGTTGATGTACTGATGGGACAGACACCGCCTCGCTGCACCCCCCCGTCTCCATCCCCTGCGCATGGGTCTCTTCCCACCCCATGGCACAGCCACCCCCAGAAGGCAAGGAAGTGTCCCCGTGGACGTTTTCACCCCCTCCCCATGGATTTCCCCCCGGACTCGTGGCCACCATCCCGCTCTCACCTCTGTCAACGCGTGCAGCTGCCCCTGGTGCACGCACACCCCCATGAACCTGCGGGACAAAGAATTGCTGAGGGTGGCACCGGGGGGGACCCAGGAGCTTGCCCAGCCCCGGTGGCAGCCCCCAAAACCCCCCCCAGGCTCCATGGAGCGGGCCCCACCTGAGGATGTTGGGGTGCGAGAGGCGGTTCATCAGCTGCACCTCCCGCAGCATGTTGCCCCGGTTGCTCGTCAGCTTGTTCATCTTCAGCACCATGATCTGCCCCGACTGGCGGTGCCGCACCTGTGGGGGGGCACGAGAGGGGGCTCAGCACCCAAGGGACCGATAGCATTACAGGGGTGCTCTCCCAACCCATGACACCCAACCCCGCTCTCCCCAGGACACCCCGCTTGTTGTGCTCCCCCCAGCACGTGCCCAGACCCCTGGAGATACCATGGCAGCTCCTGCAAGCCCCAGGGGTGCAGGACTGGGGGGAGGGGGCAGCACAAGCTGGCTGTTTTGTCTCAGGACCACAACCCCAGCCAGACCCCAATCAGCTGGTGGTGGTGGTGGGCGTGAGGGCAGAGGGGTCGCATCCTGCCCAAATCATCCCCGTGGGGCACGGCGCGTGGCCGAGGCCGTATATTTAGCCAACCCCAGCCCGATGCTGTCACACGAGCCGGGGGGCTGGCCCCCTGCCAGGAACAGCAGCCAGGAAGGCGGCCAAGCACGGACACCCCCGGACCCCCCACCCTGCATTGAGGGGGGGGCGAGGAAACGGGCACGGGGCAGAGCACGGCACTGGGGGGGGGTCCCCTCCTCAGCAGACACAGGGGTCGGGACAGGACCCTGGGACAGCACCCCATGGGAGGGGGGCACCCTGCTGGTCCCAGCTGCCCCCCCCTGGCAGGCGGGGAGCCCAGGCATTCCTCGGCGCTGCCGTCAGCTCGCTGCTCTTCTCCTTTTTAGTCGATGCTGGTTGCAGCCGCTGCGCCGCTGCCAGCCCCTGGCCTTCCCCACGTGCCCCCTTCCACCCCCCCCCCCGGCCAGCCTTGCCATGGCCAAACACAGACGGCGTCTGCAAAAACACCGGGGGCTCCCCGAGCACGTGCTGCACAGACGGGAGCCCCACGAGATCCCCGTGCCCGGCGCATCCCGGCGGCAGTGCTGCCCTCACACAGGGCACGGGGCTGGGGGGGACAGCTCGGCACCAGCACCCTGCTCGGCCCCACGGGGCTCCAAGGCATGGGGGTGCTGAGTGGCTGCGATGGGGATGCCTGGTGGCATGCTCCGTGGTGCTCCTTGGTGGCTCTGTGCCGTGGGAAGGGCTGGGTGGCTCCCCCAGGGAGCCCACTGGGCCTGGTACTCTGCGCCCAGGGGCAGGAGGGTCCTGGCACAGCCCCATCCACGAGCCCACGGGGCCACCGGGCACCCTGAGCACACTCACAAGCTGTCCTGGTGTCTGTCCTGCCTGCTCCATGGCTGGAGGACACCCCTGGTCACACAGGGGAAGGGGTGACAGCCCCCTGGCCTGGCAGGTGGCTTCCCACAGGCACTGCCCCCATAGCCCACCGCCACCAGGGGCTGGCACCATCCCAGCACCTCGGATGCCCTCCGGAAGCAGTGGCAGCCCCAAGACACAGCAAGCCACGACCCCAGGCGACACAGGCCCACACTGGGGGGTTTTCCACCCCCTTCCCGACCTTCCCAAATGCCAGCATCAAAGGGAGTGGGCAGCAGAGCCCCCCCCCCCCCGGGCAGCACGGGTCCCCCTCGCCTCTCCACGCCCTGGCCGTGCGCCCAGGAATCCCAGCACATTCCCCAGAGCTGAGCTCAGCCGGGTGCTGGGGGAGGCAGCAGCCCTCTGTCCCCCACCCGGGAGCCAACCCTCGCCCCCTGTTAAAGCCCCCCAGCACCTTGCAGAGCCCCCCACATCGTGCGCCTGGCCGGGGATGGAGGGGCACCCCACCCATCCCACATCCCCATCCCATCTGCTGCCCTGGCTGGGGGAAGGGACGGGGCTGGCTGCGGCCCCAGCCTGGGCACGAGGGATCCGGGCTCTTTTCACAGCGGAAATTAGAGTCTTATTTAAAGAGCATGCTAATCAGAGCGAGCAGACGGCCTGGGCCCTCCCTGCAGCCGCTGCTGCTGTCTAGACGCAGGGCGAAGCCCCCCGGGAGGAGGGGGGGTTCGGTACCCAGTGCCCCCAGCCCAGCACAGTCCCACAGGGGCATCCTGCACCCCTGCTCCCCGGGGAGCCGTGTGGGAAGGCGCTGAGGGCAGAAGGAGCACACACACACCAAGCTGCGGGCAACCCCAGGGTGGCTGTGCCTGAGTTCGCAGGGATCCCAGTAGCGCAACAGGTCTGTCACCGGGCGGGACTGGAAAAGCTGCTCATCACACGGGAAAGGAGGATCGTGCGAGGAATAAAAAAAAAACAACCAGGCTGCTCCCAGGCCGGCCTTTGTGAATTTGCTTCCTCCCCGCCTGCCCCGGTTTCCCTGCCGGTGCCGCCTGTGCCACGCTGCTCCACCCTGCTTTGTGAAACGAGGCAAGGTCCGCCGATGAAGGGCACGAGATAAGAGCCAGCGTGTCATGAGCTGCGCCGCTGGGTCAGGAGTAAACAGCAGGTCTCAAAGGTTGGCAGGGAACGCCGGTGGAGACGGGCAGGCGGGCGCCGTGCCGCAGCCCTCGTGCGAGGTCGAGGCACGGCACAGGGCTGCGCCCCGCCGCCGGCGCCTGCGTGAGGACGGCGATGTCCCAGCACAGCCCCTGCTGCGGGTGGCACTTGGAGAAGCGAGCACGGGACCCGGGGATGAGATGCAAGGGTGGTGTAAGGGCTGGAGAAAACGCCTGGCACAAACACGCCGGGCTCAGTCTGCTCCGTCTGTCGGAGGGATGGAGGGGCGGCTCACAGCAACGTCCGTGCACCCGAGGGAACAGGGGGCCTGGTGCCTCCAAAATCACATGGGGAAGGCAAAGGGAACAGGCACACGGGGAGAGAAACCAGGCCCAGCTTCGGCCTGGCAGGGAGCAGCCCCTGGGGATGAGGGCAGCTTTCCATCAGCAGTGCTCCGCCTGCTCTGTGCGGCCTCTCGGAGAGATGCGCTCGGGCCCTGGCTGCACCGGGGGTGATCCCAGGAATGCCATCAGACAGCCACTGGCACCATCAGTGTGCCAGGGAATGGGGACCGAGGTCCAGGTCTCCTCCTTGTCCCCTCTCACCCACCCACCATGGCTGGAATGAGGCAGGACCCAGTGAGCGCTCGGAGGGGGGAGCCTCGAGCACCCACGGCCATGGAAAGCGCTGCGGGAACAAGGGAGGTGGGAGGAAAGGGGCTCCGTGCTGCCCTGCCAAGCTGCATCCTCCTCGTCAGCCTCGCCAGCCCCAAACCCCAAGCTCGGCGGCCCACCATCCTGCTGAGATCTTGGCCCCAACCCACCGCACGGCACAAAGCCCCATCTGGCCTCCTCCTGCCCCTGCCTGCTCCAGCCCCCAACACCGCGGTGGGCACGGCACCACCAGGGCAAGCGGTGCTGGAGCACAAGGAGCACAGCATAGCTCCCAGAAGGGGCCAGGGGAGCAGAGACAGCGAGCAAGGAGACACCGTGGCCTGGCAGAGACGTGGCAGCATCCATTATTAACGAGCCGTATCCACGCCTGGCATTATTAAATGCCTCCCCCCTGCTCCCGGGTGCTCCCAGCCAGGGATCGATAGCAGGAGCCCGGCCAGCGGGGAGGCCACGGCCTCATGGAAAGAGAGGTCCCCTCTGTGCCCCCCACCCTGCATCCCCCCTCCCTGGGGGCTGCTTCTCCCCCAGGCGGGATCCCAGCGAGGGCAGCAGGGTCCTGGCTGGGCAGAGCGGCTCTCGAAGCCGCTGGAAGCGTGAGGGCGGCTCTGGCCCTGCGTTCTGCAGCGACGCCGAGGACAAAAACAACACGTGCACGCACCGCCCCTCGGCTGGGTGCTGACAGCGGGCGGGTGGCACCACCGGGACCCCAACCCGGGCACGGCCACAGGCTGAGCATCCCCGCGCCCACTGCCCTCGCCCACCCACCCTGAGCATCGGAGGGCAGGGGGGTGGCACCGGGGGGGCTGTGCGGCACCACCCCGCTCTCCCCACCCCGCTCACCCGCTGTGGGCTCCCCAAAAACCCCACCAGGGTCACCCCGGAGTGGCTGCACCTCCTGCCACCGGCACGCCCGGACCCCACAGCGGGTTCCAGGGGCTGTCACCCCCCCGGGGGGCTGTGTCCCCCCATGGTGGGGATCAGATCCGCCGCTCGCCTGCTCCCTCCGACGGAGCAACAACAGCACCGGCAGCCTGGTGAGGTCCCCGAGCATCCCCACGGACCCCCCCCCAAAAACCCACACCGCGGCGGTACCGGGGACCCCCGGAGCCCTCCCCGCAGACCCCTGAGGGTTGGGGGGTGGCGAATGCGCCCACCTTGAAGACCTCGGAGAAGAATCCGGCGCCGATCTTCTCGCAGTAGAAATCGTCGATGCGCGCCAGGGTGGAGACGGCGCTGCGCAGCGCCCGGTACGAGGAGGGCCGCAGCCTCCCGCAGCCCGGCCACGGCCCCGCCGCCTCCCCCTCGCCTTCCTCGGCTCGTTCCCCCCTCGGTGCCAGCCCGGGCCTCCGCGGCAGCTTCTCCCACTCCATTTCGGCCCCGCCGAGCACCCCCAGCGCCATTCACATCCCCCCGGGGCACGGCGCCGGGGGGGCTCCGCCGCCTCCTCCTCCTTCTCCACCGCCTTTTCCTCCTCCTCCTCCTCCTCCTCCTCCTCCGCCGCCGCCCGGCCGGGCTCGGCCCGGCCCGGTTCGGCCCGGCACGGCTCTGCCCGGCTCTGCAAGCGGCGGGGACGAGGTGCCGGCGAGGTGCGCGGTGCTCATGGCCCGGCGGCGGAGCCCCGACCCCCGCCGCGGCCCGGCGCTGCGCCTCCGCCGCCCCGAGCGCAGGCACCGGCGGGGCGGAGACGGGGCGGGTTCAGCCCCTTAACTCCTTGCCGGCTGCCGACAGCGGCCCCGCTGCCTGCTGGCAGCCCCAGGGGCTCGGGGAGAGGCGCTGGGGGCCGGGGTCTCGGCTCTCCCTGCGCGCACAGCCCTGCCCGGCAGCGGGGAGCGCAGCCGAGACGCCCCCCGCGCCCCTTTCCTGGGGTCCCCGCTGTCTCCCCGTTGTTCTCCTCCTCGCTGCTCTTTTTTCCCTGCTCCGTGGGTGATTTGCACGGTCCTTCATGCAGCCGGGCTGTCCGTGCTCTGTTCCAGCTGCCTGCCTGCCCCAGCCCCTCCTGTCCCTGCTGGGAGCGCAGCCCCACGGGGTGTCCCCCAGCATGGCATTTTTGGCCGGTGCTTGGCTCCAGGTACAACAAACACAAGGTTTTCTTCCTTATCCCAGGAGGGGAGGACAACCTAGGGCAGGGGAGCCGAGCTTCTGATCTCTTTGCAGTGGGAGCAGCTCCCTCCTCCACCGAGCAAAACCAGCCAGGCCTCCCCATCCCTGCCCTTCCCTTCAGCACATGCGAGCAGCAGCCCCAGCAGGGCCAAGGCAGTGATGGAGAGGCCCGGAGAGGCATCTCAGAGAGAGAAGCTCACAGGACCGCAGCCCGTTCCGGGCTCCTGCTGCTTACAAGTGGCTGAGTTCACATCCAATTAAGCTGTAACGAATAAATGAAAGCCCCGGAGACAGCCCTGGCTGTGGAAATTGTTGCTGCAGGATTTATGGTCCCTTCTCTCATCAGTGCTGGTAACTCTTCTGTGCCATTTCCACCCCGATCTGCTCCTGCCTGGCACAGCAGTGGTGAGCCCGGGTCCCCAGGGCCACCAGCCCTCCAGTGGTGCCATCAGGTGCCCTCCAGTGCAAAGCCTGGCTGGGCTGAGCCTGCTGCAAAACCCGAATTAAGCCCCTCAAGCCCTGGCTAGAAGAGCAGGAGGGGCTTCCCGGCTGTGCTTAGCTCCCCTGTGGAGCTGCAGGGTAGAGGAGGGGGGCTAGGGGGCTGTGTCCTCTTTGCCCTTCTCAGGGAGAAGGCTGAGGGCTCAGCAAACGCCTCCCCCTGCCCTGCCTGCTGGGGCTGCTGTGGGGAGAGGTCCTGGGAAGCTACACGGGAGGGATTTCCAGCCTGGAGGTGCAGACCCAGGGTGCGCAGGACAGGGGAGCATCTCCTGATTCAGTCAGCCCCAGTGTCCTCTCCTCCCCCTGTCCCCTCTGCCCACACTCTGTGGCCTTCCCAACCCGCTGCTTCCCCTCCTTTTCCCCAGCTCCCTGCTTTCGAGGGGGCCACCCACGTGCAGCCAGGCCGTGCCCAGCAGCACCCAGGGCAGGTGACGCAGCAGGACTACATTTCCCAGAGCTCTGCCTGTCCCCGTGCTCGGCGCCCAGTGCCGTGGCTGCGAGCTGCAGCGTTCCGCCTCCGGCTGCGAGCAGGGGCTGCCGCGGTCCCTGCTGTGCAGGCGCAGTGCTGCCCTGCTCCCCGGCCCTCCAGCTGCAAGGATGAAGGCCAAATATTTGTTGTATCAGTAATTTTCTGCGAGCAGAGTCAGCACAGCAGCCGGGCAGCGTTGGCTCACCCCCTCCTCTTGTTTCCTGCTGATGCTGCTCACACCTGGGTGCCGGTATCACGGCGTTTGTGGGTTTTTGGGGCAGCATCCGCATCCCAGCCCAAATCTTATCGGTGGGCAGTGATTCAAGGTTGCTCACATGAGCCCTGCCAAGATGTACGACGGGGTGCCAGGGGGCTGAGAAACTCTGAGTCTGGCTGGGTGGGTACCCAGTGGGAGCACTTAGGGCTGTGTGTTTGCAAACACGGGAATGGTGGGGAAAAATAATAATATTTCTTCATATATATATGAAGAAATTCAGCCCAACGCTCTGAAAAGAAAGGACAAGCAGCCCTGTGACCTTGGCGAGGTGACACGCAGCCGTGTAAGCACAACCACGTCCTTGCAGTGATCCAGCACTGCAGAGAAGCTTCACTGGTCACCGGGAGCTGGTCACCTTGTGCCGGGCAGGTAGGAGCACACGACCACCTCCAGCATCTCCCCCTCCTGAGAGGCTGATCTCCCAACGTGTGCCACGCTAATAACCACAGCGCAGCATCCCCAAAATGCTTGTGGCTCTCCGTACGTGTGTCAGGAGAAGAGATGCTGAGGAGCTGGAGCTGCTGGGCAGCGTGGGGACACATCAGAGCTGCCCAGCCCTGTGCTGGCCGACCTGCGCTGCCAGCTGCAGGGGAGCAGGGCTGGGAGGCTCCGTGGGGCTTGGCCCTTTGATCCTGCCGGGCTTGGCGTCGCTGCGGGGAGCAGGGAAAGGCTGGGGAGAGTGTGTGTGGCTCAGCACGGAGCCTGCCTGCAGCCCTGCAGGACAAACCCAGGCCAGCGGTGAGGAGTTGGGGCAGGTGGGGACGGTGCCACCTCGAACCGGTGGCCCCAGCAGGGCGCTGAGCTGCTCCCATGCCACCCCAAGCCATTAATCACCTTGATTACGGTGTCCTACTTTCTGCCCAGCCGTGTGAGGGTGGCCGGTCACCCCACCCTGCCTGGCTGTGCGGTGGCTGGTTGCGCCAGCGCTGGGTGAACTGGTCTCCTGGGGTGCTGGCAGCCAGGAGGGACCTGGGAAAGCCAGGAGGTTGTGGGTGAGCTGTGTGTCACCACCAGTCCTGACACGGGCTGTAAGTCACGCCGTGATGTCCCCATGTTGGTGGGGACATTCCCTGCGGGGTGCCCCGGAGCCTGGGTTCTCATGGAGAACCATCACAGGCAACATCCTGCCGAAATCCCCAGGGGTGAGAGGCACCCTCCTCTTAACTCCTCCAGAGATTTGAGGCTTGAGCTCCACTGTGTCCAGCACCAGCCTTCCCTCCCCAGTCTCCCAGCAGGGATCCCGGCTGGATCCCGGGCTGGAAGCACACGTGGCTTTGTGCACGTATTTATACAACAAAGGGCAGCTGCTCCCTGGGCACCGTGCCATGCTCACCACTTGCACCGACCTACCAGGACACCGTGCCCTTCTCTCTCCTTCTCCTTTGTGGGGAACAAGCTCACACAACGCGGCCAGATGTCCCGACCTGTCCTGAAGGCGAGGGGAAAAAACCAGCAGGCTCCCCGGCTGCTCAAATGGAAGAAAGTGGTGAAAGGAGGCACAGACACACCCGTGATGATGGCAACCCCACAGCCAGCACACGGCTGACTCAGGCAGGGGCTCTTCCAGCTCGGATCTTGCTGGTGGCAAGGTGACGGCCACCTCCAAGGCTCCATCGGTGCAGGGCAGGCAGGACGAAGCGTTGTGCACCCTGCAGAAGCCCAGTTTGCTCCAGTAGCTGTGCCACCTTCCCCCTCCGCCAGGCCACTGGCTGCAGCTCATGGGGAAACAGCTGCGTGGCTTTTTCGCCCCTATTCATCCGGCTCCTCCCGGGCTCGGGATATTTTGGGCACTTCTCTGTTCCCAGCTACCCTGGGTGGCACAGGATTGGCTTTCCTCTGGAAGCTGTGCAGGCTGAGAACCGAAAAGGGGAAATGCCAAGCCCTTTATTTAAGCCCCGTGTGTGGAAGGAGAGGCTCTGCCAAACACATGCAGTCCATCAGCTGCCGAGGAAGGCGAGCTGTGATGTGTGGGGCGATGGGTGGAGCGTTTTGGGGGGAGCAGCACAGAGGCCTGAGGAATGCGAGAAGGGAGACCATCTCACATTTCCCCACCTCCAGGGTTTATCCGTGCTGCCTGTCCAAGAACCAGGGTGGGACGAGCTGCGGGCGGCCCCAGGGAGGGGAGCAGGAAGGGCTGGGACAGATGTGGAGCTGCTCGGAGCTGGAAACCCCATTTCTGAGCACATCTCCTTCAAACCCACGCCCCTCCTGCCTTACCTCACCCTGCTCCCGGCTGCAAAATGCTTACGTCCGATTTTGGGGCTAAAAATATCTTTCGGGGTGGTCAGCAAGTGCACAGCCAGATGGGAGCAGGCTGCAGTGTGAAGGGAAAGGTGCTGAGATGGCAGAAGGTCCGGCTTCCACCCCTGGACAGAGGGTGCTGGAGGGATTTCTTTGCACCCCGGCACTTGTGGGGATCCCCCAACCCTCCTTCTGCCAAAGTCTGGAGGTGTGGAAAGGAAATGCACAGGCAGGGGAGGCAGGGACATGTGGCCTGGGAAGAGCACGGGGCTGCTGTCTGGATACGCAGGGAAAGGATATGTTTGGATACATCAGGGAAGCCACAGCAGAGGTGGAACTGAGCTTGGCAAGGGATGCAAAGAATAACAAGAAGGGATCTGTAGGTACATTGGCCAGAAAAGGAGGGCCAAGGAGAGTGTGTGTGAGATGGACAAGAAGGGAGAACGGGTAACAACAGGCCTGGAGAAAGCTGAGGTGCTCAGCAGGTTCTTTGCCTCAGCCGTCACTGCCAGTCAGGCTTCCCACATCCCTCCAGCCCCTGATCTGCAGGTGAGGGCTGGGGGAGAAAAGTTCCTCCTGGTGTAAGTGAAGAGCAGGCTGGAGACCACCTGGTGAAACTGAAGAGGTACAAGTCTGTGGGGCCTGATGGCACGGATTCCAAGGTCCTGAGGGAACTGGCTGATGGAGTTGCCGAGCCTCTCTCCATCATATTTCAAAAGTTCTGGTGGTCAATGGCTCTACATCCAGGTGGAGACTGGCAATGAACCCTAGGGGTCTTTCTTGGGACTAATGCTGTTTATAATATCTTGAGCAACGATATAGACGATGGAATCAAGTGCACCCTCAGCAAGTTCGCAGATGACACCACGCTGAGTGCTGCAGTTGACTCAACAGAAGGAAGGGAAACCATCCAGAGGGACCTGGACAAACCTGAGCAGTGGGACCACGTAAACCAAATGAGGTTCAACAAGTCCAAGTGCAAGGTGCTGCACCTGGGCTGGGGCAATCCCAGACATGAGCACAGGCTGGGAGAAGAATCCACTGAGAGCAGCCCTGCAGAGAAAGACCTGGGGGCTCTGGAGGACAAAAAGCTTGACAGGAGACAGCAGCCAAGAAGGCACAGGTGGAGGGAGGGAATTGTGCCCCTCTGCTCCCACCTGGAGTGCCATGTTCAGGTCTGGGTCCCCCAGCACAAGAAGGATGTGGGGCTGTTAGAGCGGGTCCAGAGGATGCCAGGAGGATGAGCATGACATGGGAAATAGAGTTTACTGTAGGAGAATGTGGTGGATGTGTTAGCAGTGTTTTCCACAAAGCCGGATCTCCAAAAGCCACAGCTACTTCTCTTTTCTCTGTGGTTCTGTGGGTGGTTTTGGGCCCTAAATGCTCTTCCCCGTCAGAAGTAAAACTGGCTGTAAATTATAGGTGGTTTGGGTTTTTCCCCCTATCAATCTGATGGTTCGAGTGCTGTTAGTTCATTGATAACTGAACCAAACCTTCGGGAAACGGCCCATCAATCATGTTCATGATGGTCAAATCAAAACTCCCGAGGTCTCACCCCAATTGAAGGGAGGTTATGTGGCTGGGTAGCTCTGTTATTAGAAAAAAATAAAATAAAAAATACACACTCTCTGAATGCTACAGCAGGAAATCTGTAGTAGAAAGCATCTGAGAGATATTGAGATGAGTCAGTGAGATTTACTCCCATGGCAAGGGCGAGGGCAGTGCATGTGGAGGACTAGCAGCCCAGACATCACAGGCCCAGAGGGTGGTCTCATGGATCTGGAGCTCATCAGCTCCCATAAATCACGCACTTGTGAACTGCTGTGTGACTCAGCAGTCCCTTGGAAACCATCTCCTGCTTGAACCCCGTAGGGATCCCGGCGAAATAAGGCATCATCAGTCGGTTTAGCAGCTCTGATGTTACACTGTGCAGGGGCCAGACATGTGGCTGCGTGCTGTGGCTTTCAGCAGGTCCTCAGCGTTTTTCTACTGCCTGTTATACACTGAAAAAAAAAATAAAAATAACAATAACAAAAAAGGATGAATTTCTAAGGAGAAGGAGGACCAGTACAGACTGCATCTCAGGGCAGGGAAAAGGAAAAGAAATACATCAGTGGGGTGGTGAAGAGCTCTGTGGGGCTGGGAAGGGGCTGCTCAGGAGAGCTGCAGCAGCAGGGGAAGCCTGGCAGCAGCGAGTGGCCTGGAAGATGGCTCAGGGAAGAACTTGGTGATGTCTGGGAGGAGGCCTGGGGAGTCTGGGTTATACAGCTTTGGGGTTATGGGCCAAGATGAGGGAGTTTCCTAACCTACCCAAAAGCCTGAACTAGCCCAGGACAATCTTCTCCATCTGGCTCCAGGAAGACCCCCTTGCCCCCGGTACTGCACACCCTTCGTGTGCTTCCCTGGGGCAGCAGAGTGGCTCCGGGGAGGCTTTGGAGGAGCCATGGGAGCGGATGGACCGAGGTACCCCTGCGACACCAGTGCGTGTGAGCGAGGAGCGGGTCTGTGGGTGCTGGCTGCCCAAAGGGGAAGCTCCTCACGCCAGGCATGATTTCCCTTGGTGTCTGTTTCATTTCTCCGTCTGCACCTCTCCCTCCGGTGCTCGGTCACGCAGACACCTTTCCCCATCAGTGGGGCTCCAGCTGTGGTCCTGCCCTGTGCTGGGCAGCACCATGGCCCTGCCAGGGCTGGCTCTGGGCTTTCTGCTGGTCCTCAGCCCTCTGCTGGGGACACAGGAACAGAGAGATCCTGCTGCCCGAGCCCGACGAGGAGCCAGGGACGCAGGTAAGGGCTGGCTGCTCCTCTCTTTTCAAGGGAAGCTTTTGCTGCTCGTCTCCCTGCAAGTCGTCCTTGCGGCTTTCCACTGCTTGGCACATGGTGGCTGTGCTGGAGAGGACTAAACCCAGTATCCATACTGGTCCTGAGCCTCTTGGGCATGTCAGGCTGTGGTGGGGTGAAGCTGTGTTTTGGGGATGTAGGGCAGTGATCCTCGGTGTGCTGGAAATGCCTCCACACTACAGCCCCCTCCGTGCCTCCATGGGGTGGGCAGCACGTCTGGGAGCAGGAGGTGGCTGGTTCTCACTGTGTGTTGGGCAGGGGAAGCCTGAGCACATGGCCTTTCTGGGGTGATAATAGCAAAAAAATCGCCCGTTGCTGTAGACATGGGTGCTAGTGCCCAGCAAAGACCTGGGGAGCCGCGAGACCCAGCCCTGTGCTGGCTGGGACACTTGTTCTCTCTCCAGTCCCTGTGGTTGTCCAGTCTGTATTTTGGTGGGATTGTCCTTCAAACATTTTTTTCTATTTTTTTTTCTATTTTTTTTTTTATTCTTTTTCCATGGCAGGAGAGCTAGGGGCATCCCTTAGGGCTGTGCTGGGCTCTCATGTACTGTACCCTGGGGCTGGGGGTACCTGCCGAGCTCCCCCTGCGGCACGGCAGGAATTGTTGCTCTTTGCAGCAGGGGATGGGGAGCCTGGGGCGTGAGTCATTATCTCTGCAGGGAAATGTGAGCAGAAGTGGCCTGCCAAGCTGTCCTATGGGGCGTGAATCATGCTAACCATCTCTGGTGGCTGGAGCGATGCTGCTCTTGCAGCGATGGACAAGGTTTAGGCAGATGGATGACTGAGGTCTAAGGTCTGTCAAGATTTTTGGCTGTCTGGTGTGAGGGCACTGGGATCCAGCTGAAGGGGATGAAGTTTCCCACCTGGGTAACACATACGAAGGAGCAGGGTGTGAGAATCCACCACAAGGGAAGGGAAGCTGGGTGAGGTAGGGCAAGACGGGCTCATTTTGGGTGAAACACATGGAAAAGGGTGGGTGCACTGAGTGGGCTGTGAGGCCTGGGGATGCGAGTGGGGATTAGGGGCCTCATCCTGGGAGGTGCTCAGCTCTGAATAAGGAGGACCAGCAGCCCTCTTGATGGGACCTGCTCACACCTGAGGGCACTGCCATCGCCCTGTGATCCCCTGGGCTCTCCCTCCTTCAGGAGGATGCAAAGCTCCCTCCGACAGGGACCCCAGGCTGCAGTTTACCCCTGGCCAGACCAGCTATGCCTTGAGCAAGCTGATCCAGCTGAGCTGCGCTAGGAACTACAGCCCACCGGTCCCCCAGATGCATTTCCAGGGGCACCCAGAGCTTGTGTAACAAGAAGACCACCTGCACCTCTGTAAGCACAGTCCTGCAGCACCTTGATCCCACTGCCCTGGGCTGGTGGCTCCGTGACACGGCTGTCCAGGAGGACCTGGATGCTTTTGTCCCCATGGACGGCATCCGCTGGGAGGCAGAAGAGCTGGATGGGTTCATCTTGAGGCTTTGTGGTCAGTTGTGCCTTGTCAGCAGAAGGCCGGGCTTCTGCCTTTTGTCCTGGCTGAGGTGTGACACCATGACAGCTGCAAGACCTTCCCCTCTCTGTTTGGGACCCAAAAGACATCTCTAGTGATTCCTCAGCCACTGCTGCGCCTCAGCACCTCCCGCACCACCTAAACGCACTTTTCCCTCTGCCAGAAACGTGCCAAAGGCCCTTGTGGGACCCCAGGCTCCGTCTGACACCAGACCAGGAGGAATACAGCCAGAATGAAGAAGTGACGCTGAGCTGCCCCAAGATTTTCCAGCCACCCTTCACCCACGTCAGATGCGCAGGGGAAGTGCAGCCCAACATTCACGGGAAACCTACGTACATCGAGGGGTGGCTGGGAAAGGGCACGGGAGGTGCCTGGATCCGAATTCGCTCCAAGGTGGAGTGCATGGGTAAGGGAGGCACCAGGAGCCATCCTGGGTGCCAGGAGAGTGGGGACAAAATTGGAGGGGAACGGGATATTTCTTCTCTGCCACTCTGCAGTCAGCCAGCAGGGGCAGCTCCATGCACAGCCCAATCTTTCCAGGTGTCCTGATGCATGCCCCCTGAGTGCTTCACCTTGCTGCCTTTGTGGGGCAATTCCTAAGGCCTTGGCCTCTTAAAGGATCCCACAGGACCCTGGGATCAAATGCTGATCCATCCATCTCTGTGCTAGCTTTGTGCATCTTAAGAGCCCCTTGTGTGTGTCCAGACACACACACACACACAAAAGAAATATACAAAGAGGGTAGCAAGACACTGGAAACTGGCAAGACAGCCCAGAGAAGTTGTGGATGCCTCATCAATGGATGTGAAAGATGTCCCTGCCAGTGGCAGCAGGGTGGACTACAGGGTCTAAAAATTTCCCTTCCAACCCAAATCTTCTCCAGACACTGCAGCACCTGTAGTGTGCTGAGGAGTGGTCCAGAGCCAGAGGAAACTGTAGGCAGTGCTCGAATATTGTGTGGGAGAAGGCAGGATGGGCTCAGACACTAGGTGTGGGGGGACATGGCAGTGAGAGAAGGGTGAGGGTGAGGGAGGTCTGCACAGGGCTGGGAAGGGAAGGCAAGGCAGTGACCCTCTTCAATGCTTCCTTCACAGAGGCCTTCCAGGTCGTGCCTGGGACCTTGGAGGTTTCCACCACCAGCATCAAACTGAACTGGACCTGCAGTCTGCCCGATGCCTGCCAGCGCATGCAGGCCACGTGCAGGCTGGCAGGGCCTTCCTCGCCCTCCTGTGAGGCTGAGGAGGTCACGGCAAAGGAAACACTGCACGGCCAGAATGGAACATTTACCTGCAACCACCTGCAGCCCTACACTTTCTACAGCATCACCATCTCAGTGCCTGCCAGCACCATCCTGTTCTCAAGACTCCTGAGAACAAAGGCAACAGGTAAGTGTCCCTTGCCTGTCAAGGTACTTTTGCTTTTCTCCCCAAAATCTCAGCCCCAGGTGGGTGTCCCTGTGCGTGACCCCCTCTCGCTGTGCTTGCAGTGCCCGAGAAGCCAGAGCGGCTGTGGCTGGATGCCAGCACGGGGACGCTGCGGTGGCAGGCGCTGCCCTCCTGCAAAGGGGAGATCCTCGGGTACCAGGTACCAGGGGTGTGGGGGCTGCCCATGGGTGCAGGCAGCAGGGAGAGGGGTGTTTGTAGTGACATCAGGACCCTGCCATCCCCCTCGGGGCCGGGTGGGAGCCAGGTGCTGGTCCCCATCAGCTCCTGTCCTTCCTGCAGCTGAACATCACGGCCAGGAGCGCGCAGGACGGCAGCTTCCTGGAATTCCAGCAGGTGACAGTGAACAGCTCTGTCACCCAGTACACGCCACCTCGTCAGATGCCCGGCAGCAAGTACACAGTGACAGTCCAGGGCCTGACGGCTGCTGGTGCCGGGCATGCATCCTACCTGGAATTTCAACCCAGTGTCTTGGGTAAAGGTTTCTGTGCTATGGGCCTGCTTAGGCTGGTGTCTGTCTGTCCACCCTGTGCCATACAAGATAGTGCCCTGGCCCCAGAGGATGCCTCTGTGGCATTGCTTCAGCCCCTGCTTGGGTTTGCACTAGCAGAGCTGGCCCCTCTCTGACATCTAATTCTGGCAACAGCAGGGAGCATATGAGGAGTCTGCAGGAATCACAGGTTGTGCTAGGAAGACAGGTCAGAAAATGAATATCTGTTCTTTTTATCTGTGAGTTGTGGCATCAGAGGCAGCAAGGCATGCATGTAGGGCTTGGTTACCATGCTATTCTGTAGCTCCTGCAGGAGGCAGAGGGTTTTATTACTTTCCCTGAACAAAGTAATTGCAGTATGGTATCTATCCTTCTGTGAGTGCACACTTGGACCTTTTATCTGGGCAACAATAACAGTGCCCACCTTTTTGTTGTGCAGGGTGTGATTGCCTTGCACCTGGACAAGGAAAAACAGTTTAAGTACCTGAATTTGCAATTAAGGGCCCCACAAAGTGCATCAGTAAGTGGGGTGACAGGAGGTGCCTCGCCTGGAGCCCAGTGACCCTACGGCTCCTCTGGTGCCAGGGCACGGCGAAGTGAAGGGCAGCCTGAGCTGGGCTTGGGGTCAGCTCCAGAGAGCGGCTGCAGGGGGTCTCCTGCTGCAGGTGGGATTGTCCTGGGAAGCTGCCGGCCGTGGGATGTGGTGGGGGGCAAAGAGCGAGCATGGAAATGGGGTGGAGAAGGGATTTTGTGGGCAAGTGACAAGGGGAGCCCCCTCCCTCCCAGCAAGGCTTGCTGGGGGGCACGTCATGGCACATGGACGGCTCTCCTTCTGTCTCCCGTTGGTGTCTGGAGGGACTGCTGGTGGTTGCTGATAGCTGGTGGTACCCTGCCCCACCTCAGCACCCACACCCCAACTAAACCCGCTTTTGCCTTGCCCAGGTACATGCCAGAAGCCCTGGTGGGACCCAAGGCTCCGTCTGGCACCAGACCAGGAGGAGTACCACAGGAACGAAGAAGCGACACTGAGCTGCCCCGAGGGTTTCCAGCCACCCTTTACCCATGTCAGATGTGCAGGGGAAGTGCAGCCCAACATTCATGGCAAACCTGTGTACATCGAGGAGTGGCTGGGAAAGGACCCGGGAGGTGCCTGGATCCACATTCGCTCCAAGGTGGAGTGCATGGGTAAGGGAGGCACCAGGAGCAATTCTGGGGCCTGTGTGTGCTGGGGAAAGCAGGAGGAGCTGCCACAGGCAGTGGGAGGCAGCTCCTGTGCATGTCTGGGGCTCACCCATATCGTGTCCTGGAGCTCCATTCCTCACCAGAGCGGACCAGAGACAGGATCCCCTTCCCCACATGTCCTGCCCTGTCCCCTGTTAAGCTCTGTGGGTCCTGCCTCTATCCTGCTAATGCTTTCCCCTCTTGTCGGTGCAGTGAAATGCCAGAAGCCCCAGTGGGACACCAGGATTCTCTTTGCCCCTGACCGTGGTTCCTACGACCTCAATGAGACGCTGACACTGACATGCCCTGTAGGGTACTGGTCATCCAGCCCTGAGGTTGCCTGCATGAAACTCAACCCAAGGCAACGCTTCCTGATTCCTCAGATCGGCTGGTTTGTGAAGGACAGCACGGGACAGTGGAAGCCTGTAGAGGGGAATATGACCTGTGTGGGTGAGTGAGTGAAGCAGCCACTCTGTTCTCCCCAGGCAGGGAAAGCGGTGCCAGATACAGCCTACAGCCCTAAGGCACCAAGGCCCTGTGCTTGGGGTGGTGCGGGAATGGTGTGGGTGTTCGCTGTGGAGAAAAGAGCTGCTAATGCAGCAGGGTTTGTGTCTGTCCCTGTCAGAGTGAAAGGGAGCAGTCACAAATCAGCTGCTAGGCCTGTGGTGGAGACTTAGAGGGACCACAAGCACCTGGCCTTGTCCTCTGCCAGCGTGTCTGGGAGCACCCCAGGCCCAGAGGAAAGTGCAGGCAGTGCCCAAATGTCGTGGGGGAGAAGGCAGGATGGGCTCGGCCTCTCGTTGCTGGGGACGTGGCAGTGAGGGAGGCCTGCACAGGGCTGGGAAGGGAAGGCAAGGCAATGACCCTCTTCAATGCTTCTTTCACAGAGGCCTTCCAGGTCATGCCTGGGACCTTGGAGGTTTCCACCACCAGCATCAAACTGAACTGGACCTGCAGTCTGCCCGATGCCTGCCAGCGCATGCAGGCCACGTGCAGGCTGGCAGGGCCTTCCTCCCCTCCCTGTGAGGCTGAGGAGGTCACGGCACAGGAGATGCTTCATGGCCATAAAGGAACATTTACTTGTCCGCCTCTGCAGCCCTTCACTGTCTACAGTGTCACCATCTCAGTGCCCCCCAGCACCATCCTGTTCACACGGCTCCTGAGGACAAAGGCAACAGGTAAGTGTCCCCTGCCTGTCAAGGTATCTTTGCTTTTCTCCCATAAAACTCAGCCCCAGGTGGGTGTCCCTGTGCGTGACCCCCTCTCGCTGTGCTTGCAGTGCCCGAGAAGCCGGAGCGGCTGTGGCTGGATGCCAGCACGGGGACGCTGCAGTGGCAGGCGCTGCCCTCCTGCAAAGGGGAGATCCTCGGGTACCAGGTACCAGGGGAGTGGGATGCAGGCAGCAGGGAGAGGGGTGTTTGTGGTGAGATCAGGACCCTGCTGTCCCCTTCGGGGCAGTGTGGGAGCCGGGTGCTGGTCCCCATCAGCTCCTGTCCTTCCTGCAGCTGAACGTCACGGCCAGGAGCGCGCAGGACGGCAGCTTCCTGGAATTCCAGCAGGTGACAGTGAACAGCTCTGTCACCCAGTACACGCCACCTCGTCAGATGCCCGGCAGCAAGTACACAGTGACAGTCCAGGGCCTGACAGCCGCTGGCGCTGGGGATGCTTCCTACCTGGAATTTCAAGCCTATGTCTCAGGTAAAGGTTTCTGTTCTATGGGCCTGCTTAGGCTGCTGTCTGTTCACCCTGTGCCATATAAGATAGCAGCTTGGCCCCAGAATTGTGGGGACAGAGCACTACAACCCTAGGACTGTGTGCCCTCAGTCTATCCAGACTGCATTGGACAGGTTTCTGGTCCCTGTGGGTGTTTCCTGGAGATGGGACACTTCTTGTCACTCCAGATCCTTCCTGCCTGTTTCACCTGAAGGCAGGACATGGCTGTGCCTCACTACCTGTCCCTGCATGGAGCCAGGACTGCAGAGCCTGGACACACGCACGCACACATTCACACACCCCAAGGCAATGTTTGGGCACCCACACAGGCTGTGGCACCCACTGCTGGCTGTGTGCTTAGTTTCAGGGCAGCCTCCAGGCCCCTGGCCATGGACTGCGGTCACCGTGGTGGCTGTGCTGTCAGCGATGGTCATGCTGTCTGCTGGGATCCTGTGGTTTGCACTGTCTAGGTAAGTAGGCAGGGAACTCAGAGTTGCTGCTCTGCCTCAGGCCATGATGGGCTAATGGGGTGGCTGGTGACAGAGGGGGCTGCTCTCACCCTTTTCTGGGTGCCATGTGTGAGAAACATCTCAAATAATTTTCTTCAGACAGGATCTTCTGTGAAGTTATTTTATATGTGATTGCAATGGCAGGCGTCCTGTCAATCAGGAGTGCATTTTAGTAAACAAATCATAACCTTTTATTCCCTCTTATCCGACACCTGCTCACCTTCTCTGTTTCATCACTGGCTTAGTACTAAAGGTTCACAAGCTACTCGACGCCCCTCTGTACCATATATGAACCATTTTTCTTTTTTTCAGCTGCTTAATTTCTCCTTTCTTACGTTTTGAGAACCTGTGATCTTTGTTTTACTGTTCCCACGCTGCTCATCCTGTTTATCTCAACTTATTTTCCACCTTATTTTGGAACAGCGAGGCCTTCTACTGTCCACTTATCTACGTAGCATTTCTCCTTGTTATGACTACACAACCACCTTGGAATACAGAAAATTAGTTCTCTGCTGCAAAAACACAACTTAGTTTCTCACACGAGAGGGCAGCAGCTGGTCCTGCTGTGGCTTGGCTGGTGGGCTCCTGGCTGGGTCTGCAAGTCAGCAGCCCCATCAGCCTCTGCCCAGCCTCAGGACACCCCTTTGCCTTCCCAGGAGGAGGAAAGCCTTGCCCAGGAAAGCCGAGGAGGACCATTACACAGGTAGGGCCACGGCAGTGGGGCCAGGGTATAAGGAGGGCAGGTCATTGCCAGGAGAGCCCTGCAGCCCCCTGTGCCGCTGCCTGCCCGGGTCTGCGCTGCTCCTCCTCCTGCAGCCCTGGGTCCCTCACGCTGTTTTGTCCCCTGCAGAGCTCCAGCCCTATGAAAACTCGGACCACTACTGTGTGATCAAGGAGAGGTTTCTGGCCGAAGAAGAAGCAGGTAGGAGATGGCCCCCACACATGTATGGGGCAGAGGGTCAAGAGCGACCCGAGGAAAGGGCCGTGGCAGTGCCAGGCAGTGCCCATCGCTCCGGCCTGTCTCAGACCCTCACGGCTGTGGCAGCGTGAGCTCTGCCGAGGGCTGGCAGCAGCCTCTGCCCTGGGTGCTGTTGGTGTCCGCAGGTAGAGGTGGCCGGGCTGGAGAGCGACCATCCCTGTCCCTGCCCCTGCCCCTGCCCATCCTGGAGTCCTCAGGAATCAGACAAAGCAGTGAGGGAGAGGAGAAGATGGGGTGAATGTCCCCGGATCCGTGCTGGTGGCACTTTCATTGTCTCTTGGTCCTCCACAGCTGGAAGCAGGGCCTCACAGCTTGTGCTGTGCTACTGTCCCCCACCCCCCATATTTCATCCCTCATTAAGCTCCTGCACACTTTGTAACACACCAGGAGCAGCCCAAGGCATGGGATGAAACGCTTGCACCCACAAAATTGTGTCCTCCAGTATTTTGGCTCAGCTATTCCATCCTGACCTGGTGCTTGCAAGTGTCATTTGAGACCAAAGCACCCCACTGGGTTCCCAGCCCCTCTTTGCTTTGCAGCCCCATCCCCATCTAACTCCAGGACTCTGCCTGAGCTTTGCCCAAGCTTGCTGCCCTCTCAACTGCTCTGTTGTATCCAAACAACCAATAAAGTAGTGTGGTCTGCAGGGGGCTGCCTGCCCCACTACGGCATCCACCTGGCCATGAGTCCTCCCTTTTGTGTGTGTGAAAGCTGTGTCTGTGTGAATCTTCACAAAGAAGACTGGCCCAGGCTTTTGCAGGGACGATCGCCGCCGTCTTCTCCAGCTCTGTGGGTAGGCTGAGATGTCTGTATGTCCTCCTCCTGTCCTTGGGGACACGGGCCGTCATGAATGGGCTGTGAAAAACTGTGGGATGTGCTTTTTGTACCCCAAAATGCAGCCACGATGGGAGGGAGGGACATGCGGGAGGAACACCTCCTGCCTTCCTTCTGCACTGCCCCTTGGTCTGCAGCCTTGGTGGGATTGTTTCTCTGCCAAGTTCTCACTCTTCTCTCCCAGCTGCTGTTGTGCAGCAGCTTTTCCCTTTGCTGTGAAGAATCCACTTGAGCCAGATGTCATCATTTCACCCCGATGCTTGCTTCTCCTTGCAGGCCATTGCGTAGGTGTGCGTGGTGAGTGGTGGTGAGTAGTGCTGAGACTCCAGTCCTGCCCTGGCAGTTAATGCAGTAGATGCCCTGTGATTGTAAGACTGAGGCTGTCTCCCTGTCCTTGCACCTCTGCAAGGTCTGGGTTGTGATCTTTTCCCCTTGTGGGAATGCCACAAGTCTCCTGGGTTGATGTGGCACCTCCCAAGCCTGCAAGATGTGCCTGTCTGCATTTGCCATCCCAGATGGTAGGAAGCATCTCTCGCATGTCTTCCAACTCACAGAGCACTCCCCTTCCTGACAGCCAAAATGAGCAGCCGAGTGCCAGCTTGCTGTGCTGTACTTTTATTGAAGTCATCCCCTGGGAAGTCCCTCGCCTGGGGGGTTTCTCCTGTTAGCATCTACCACCATCCGCTGACTCAGATCTGCACAAGTAAGTGACTCTTGTGGTCTCTTGGTCTGACTTGTTCTCTGGTTGCAGAGGTGGGTCTGAGAATAAAGTGGCACAAGCTATGGTGGGAGGGTTCAGTGTTTGTTGTGCCAGTCTTGGGGAATGCCAACATTTGAGAGAGACATGGAGCAATAGGAAAATCCCTGCTTGGTGTGGGACTGACAGGCAACAAGGTGTCTCTAGGCACTGCAAGCAGGAAACCCTTCAGATATCAGCACATCATCCTTGCCTAACAATTTTGCACAAGAGCCTTGTGTACCTCTTGCAATATGCTGCAGGCTATAAAAGCAACCTGACAGCCGCACAGCTCATCCCAAAAGATAGCCAAGGACCCGAGGCAGGGGGAGGCCGGTCGTTCCCAGGGCATGTGGCTCTGGCACCTCTTCCCAGAAGGGACAGGTCATGGGAGCCAAGGGCTGAGTTTAAAAAAAAAAAAAAAAAAAAAGAGTTCTCAGGGACATTTTTTCAGCTTCCAGCAGTTTGCAGGTCAAGGACTCCCTGAGTCAGAGGGGCTATCTTTGCATGTAATGGCTTTTGATGGTGTTTTCTTCCTTGAGCTTGTCTAACCTCTTTTGGATAATACAACAGCCTTAGGATGCACTCTGTACACTGGCAGGGAGTTCTCCAGTTTCACCTGACACTGCATAAAGATCCCCTTTCCTTTCTTTGTTTCTAAACTGCCACCTTTTGAATGCTCCTCCCTCCCAGTATTATGGAGAAAATCGAATGGCAGGCATTCCCTTTCCCTCCTCTCTGAGTCCCTCATTTTATACAGCTGCCATATCCTGCTTCCATTTTACTTTTTCCTGCAGGAAGAGCTGTGGCTTGCTGGGTGCTCCCCATCCAGAAGGCATCCCAGGTGCCTGCTCAGTCGCCTGTCTCTGAACATCCCTATTTTCCCATATCCTTTTGGAAATGGGGGTGCAGGATTGCACATGGTGTTCAAGAAGCAGGTGAACTAAAAAGAGGTGAACCATGGATTTATCTGGTATTGTATTCTCATTTGTCCTGGTAGGCGTACGTGTTGTAACAGGCAGTGGGCCCTGAGCTGCCTCTGACAGACTTTCTAGTACTTGGGATCTTGTGCTCTCATGGCTCTGAGGAGAACATCTTGCTGTAAAAGTATGATTGTTCCTTGTTTACCTAAGCTGCATTTTATCTGCAGTTCTGTTTGCCAGTCATTGGAGTCTGCTCTCATTCTGCAGCGTTCTGTCACAGCTGGCTTCTGTTTTTAACACCAGGCATCGTCAACAAGCGTGACTCCTTGCCCCCCCTGAGTCTGAGACTCTGCTCCCTGAGAAGAGCAGACCTGTTTCATTTTGGAACCAGTTGCTTCCTCAGGTGAGAGCTATCCTCTTGTCATACCCCAGACATGAGCTCGGTGACCAGAGGAAGGTAAGAGCTGTCACCCCTGTATGGGGGTGACCCTCCTACATCTGTTCTAGCAGGTCTGGGGGAACAGTGCTTCCACATCCATCTTTACCCTAGCCTTCAGGATATTGTAACCTCCCATCACAGACCTCCCTCCCAACTTGGAGATGAGTACCTGATTCTGAACAGTGAATCTGGAGGCCAGTTCCTTCCCTCTGTCATTGCCATGACTCTTGCCCTCTGTGCCTGCCCTCCTGGAGCTGCAGGCCCTAGAACAGCACATGGCAATCACGGTGTAGTTGCATCCAGGCTTTATGGCTTGGGGATAATGATGTCTTTTTCTTTCTCTCTGATGACACAAAGGAGTTATTTGTGTTATCAGTTGTGCAACACTCTGGTTCTGCTCTCTCTTTTACACTCTGCAGGATTCCTTGCAGTTCCACTCTCCTTTGTACCCTTGACTCTTGCCAGATCTCCTAATACTGTCTTGGAAGACATCAAACAGCTGTGATTACTGAGGGGAAGTGCTGTGACCTGTGACATCTCCAGAAGCCACGTGTGCATGAAGAGGCTTTGGGAAGCGTGTGGCAGAAGCCTCAGGAACTCAGAAGCCTCAGACTCAGTGAGTGGCGTTTGGTGAACGCGCTCTGGCAGCAAGGAGCTCTGTGGGGTGAAGCTCTGGGATCCTGGTGGCTGGGGCTCTGGGGAGTGCCAGTGCCAGGGTGTCCCTGGGGAAGGAAAGCAGCAAAAGGCAGCAGTGCTGACACCGATGGGAGGATCCCTCCTCAAAGAGGAAGGCTCTTGTGTTCAAAGTGATTTCCCGTTGAGAAAAACCATCAGATACAGTTTCAGTGCCTGGAGGCAGCAAGTGGGGCTGAGGTCTGAGTTGTGCCCAGGCATTGGATGCTAGCATGGCCCTGCGGTTGCTGGCTTTGACCTTCTTCCTGGGAATACAGACACAGGAAGATACTGGTCCCAAGGCCCAAGGAGCACCCTGGGAAGCAGGTAAGAAATGCCCATTCCTCTCTCTGAAAGAGAAGAAATTTTTCCTCTTTCATTTGCCAGTCTGATGTGCCTTTTACCACTGGCAGCACATGGCAGCTGTATCGTAGGGGCTGGAGGTGCAGCTGGGTTTGGGGATGGAGGGCAGCAAGGCTCAGTGTGCTGGGAAAGCCTCTGTGAGCTCTGGGCTGTCACGCTCCATGGAGGGGGCAGTGTCCCTGGGAGAAAGAGGTGTCTGGTTCTCACCGCATGGCATGTAGACAAAGCCTGAGCATGTGGCCTTCCTGGGACGATAAGGGCAATGTCCTCTCTGCTGGGGAGCTGGTGCTGGTGCTGGTGCTTATTGGATCTGTGGGCTGGAGACCAGGGGGACACCTAAGGAGTTTTGCCAGCTGGGACACCTGCTGCCTCTTGGAGACCCTGGGGGCAGGATACGTGGTGTGACGGGCCAACCCTTGCCTTCTCTAACTGAATATATACATATATATATTTATATCCATTCTTTTCTGTTCAGATGATGTGAAACTCATGAGATGCGATCATTCTCCAACGTCATGTTAAGGAAGTTCATTGCATAAATTCTGTAGGACCTGAAGGATCTGAGACAGGCTTGAATAGGGAAGTGCTCCTTATCTACATACCAGAAGTGTAGGCTGCTGACTGCAGGAATCATAGGCATTTCCAATTATGTTCCTATTAGGAGGCTGTCCCCATTCAGCAGAGCTCCCGTGTGCCAAATCCTCTGGGCCAGCCTCGCGCGTGCCCCAGCTCTGAGCTCCGCTACCTGAAGAGCCGCAGGCAAGGCGATGCGGCTGGGAGCGAAGGAGTGGGGGTGGCGGGCAGGGTTCTGGGGGCGCGCTGAGGAAGCCAGATGACAAATCTGCGTCCCAGCACTGGGGAGGAGGCAGCGCTGCGTGCGCGGTGCCAACGCTGCCGGCAGAGGATGTGGTCGGGGCGTGTGGCGCAGCGCTGCTCCCTGCGCTGAGCAGGCGGCATTGTCCCTTTGTCCTATTGTCCCCCGGCTGTCTTTCTGCACGGCTCTCTCAGAGCTTTCCTCAACGCCTGTAATCCTGGGGCAGCGAAAGCCCAAGGGAGGCCGTGGAGGAGCCCCGTGGGGCCGCACACCCCGGCTGTGAGCTGCATGCTGCCCCGTGCTGCCACTTCCCGCTCCACAGCACAGCTTCCCGAAACACCAACCTCACCTCCTGCTGCTCAAAGCCTGCCAGCTGCCCTCCTGCACGGTGTTGGCCTCGCTGAAGCTTCACCTGGACGCTTTATTGTGTCTGGGGCCTATGCGCAGCTCTCTGCATGGCCCCGGTGTGTGTCTCTGAGTGCCTCCGTGCTCGGGCATGCTGTGAATCCCTCCAGGGCTGGAAGCCCAGTGCTCCTTTCCCTGCTCTCTCGGAGCACTCCCGGAGCTCCAGCCTGGAGGAAGGGGCCAGCCCCACGTGCTGTGCAGCGTTACCCCTGCCTCTGCCGGGATGTGCCCTGCAACGAGGCACAAACCCCTGGAGAGGTCCATCAGCTTTGGCTCTTCCCATCCCGCTGACACGCTCTCCTTCTTCTCTGTGCAGTTTGCCCGAAGCCGCAGTGGGACTCAAGCCTCCGCTTTGTCCCAGAGAAGACATCTTATGATAACGGGGAGGAGCTGACACTGAGCTGCCTCACTGAGGATGATCCTCCTCTCGCTGTGATCAGATGTGTTGCATGGATCTTCTGGGGACATGACTGGGAGGTGAAGGACAAGTGGGGAAGGTGGCATAGCATTGAAATGTACCAGGCCTGCACAGGTAACTCGGAGGCAGCAGCTCTCCCCTGCCGCGGGCTCCTCTCCATCAGCAGGGCCCCTGGCGTCTCGCCGTGCCTGTGGGATGCCTCGGGCTCGGCTCTGGGATGGCCCCGGCCGGGAGCAGCCCCCGAGCTGGGCCGGGACAGGAGCCCCCAGCGGGGCCCGGCATTGCCTCTGCCCTGCCTGAGCTGTGGCCAGATCCTGCCCTCAGCCCTGCTGCTCTGAGCACCTCACAGCCCCGCGGGGCTCCTGTCCCGCACCCAGGGGCTCTGCTGACGGATGACCCCGCAGGCAGTCGTGGTCCAGCCTCAGCCCCCTCCTGCCCCACCACCCCGTCCCCAAGGAGGACTGTCACGCTTTCTCCCCTGCAGGAACATGCCAGAAACCCCAATGGGACAGAAGGGTCGTGCTCGTCCCAAGGAAAGGCAGCTACACACCAAATGAGGAACTGAGGCTGTCTTGCCCTGGAGTTGTCAAGCCCTTCTTCATCAGTGCCAAATGTGTGAGGGAATTTCAAGGAGTGACTTCAGGACAACCTGTCTATGGGGACAGCTGGTGGGGGAGGAGAGACAGAGGCGCCTGGACCCGCATTGAGGAGCCCGTAGCGTGCGTGGGTACGCGGGGCAGCTCTCCCCGTCCCCTCTCTGCCCTCACACTCCCGCCCCAGCCCCTGCTTGGCGCTGCGGTGCCCTGCCGGCTGCTGAGGAGCTCCCCCCTCAGAGCACCCTCCTTCCCCACTGCTCCCTGTGACGCTGCTGTCCTGGGCTCAGCACCCCTCGGGTTTCCTCACGGCCTTGGTTCTGGCCTCCCCGAGCCTCCTGCATATCCCCCCCAACTCTCACACAAATTTGCCTTTGACAGTAAAATGCTCGAGGCCCCAGTGGGACGCTGACCTTCGTCTGGCACCAGAGCGCAAGGTTTATAATGAGGGCGAAGAAGTGACACTGAGCTGCCCAGAGGGTTTCCAGCCCCCCTTCCAGCAGGCTAAATGCGCATGGATACCTCAGGCTGTGGCTACAGGGGAGCACAAGGGCACCTGGACACAGAAAAACGAGTTGGGGCAATGGGTCCCCATTCAGAGCCCCACAAAGTGCATCAGTAAGTGGGGTGACAGGAGGTGCCTCACCTGGAGCCCTGCGACTCCTCTGGTGCCAGGGCACGGCGAGGTGAAGGGCAGCCTGAGCTGGGCTTGGGGTCAGCTCCAGAGAGCGGCTGCAGGGGGTCTCCTGCTGCAGGTGGGATTGTCCTGGGAAGCTGCCGGCCGTGGGATGTGGTGGGGGGCAAAGCGCGAGCATGGAAATGGGGTGGAGAAGGGATTTTGTGGGCAAGTGACAAGGGGAGCCCCCTCCCTCCCAGCAAGGCTTGCTGGGGGGCACGTCATGGCACATGGACGGCTCTCCTTCTGTCTCCCTTTGGTGTCTGGAGGGACTGCTGGTGGTTGCCGATAGCTGGTGGTACCCTGCCCCACCTCAGCACCCACACCCCAACTAAATCCACTTTTGCCTCACCTAGGAACATGCCAGAAGCCCTGGTGGGACCCAAGGCTCCGTCTGGCACCAGAGCAGGAGGTGTACAAGGAGAACGCAGAAGTGACGCTGAGCTGCCCCGAGGGTTTCAAGCCGTCCTTCACCCACATCAGATGTGCAGGGGGAGTGCAGACAGCAGAACATTCTGGATTTGTAGACAGAACTACCTGGCTGGGGAGGAAGAGCACAGGTGTCTGGATTCACATTGAGGGGCCTGTGCAGTGCCTTGGTACGTGGGTTGGCAGGAATTACCTTCTCTGCAGCCCTGTCATCCAGTCCTACCCTCCATGCCTCTCTGCGTTTCCCACATCCCCACCGTGTCCTGGGCCATGCTCCCCATACCTGAGCGCATCCCTTGGTCTCCCTGGGTTTGATGCCTGAGACCAGTGCCCAAGCAAATGGTGGCCCAGCCTCACCCACCCCTGGGCAGCCCCACCCCCACTGCCACTCACCTGCTTTTGCCTCTGCCAGAAACGTGCCGAAAGCCCTCGTGGGACCCAAGGCTCTGTCTGGCACCAGAGCAGGAGGTGTACAAGGAGAATGAAGAAGTGACGCTGAGCTGCCCTGAGGGTTTCGAGCCATCTTTCACCCACATCAAATGTTCAAGAGAAGACCAGTCCATCAGCGCTGGGAAGCCTGTGTACAGAGAAGTTTGGATGGGAAAGGGCTCAGGAGGTGCCTGGACCCGCATTCGCTCCATGGTGCAGTGTGTGGGTAAGAGAGGTGCCAGGAGCTCTCTTGGGGCCCTGAGTGCTGGGGGATGTAGGGGGAGATGCCAAAGGCAGTGGGAGGCAGCCCCTCCACCTGCCCAGGGCTCGCCCTGTGTCCCCAGGGGTGCCTGGGCGGGGAGGGGGCTGGCAGCCTCTGTGCCTGAGGGTCCCGGCAGGAGGGGCTGTGGCAGCCAGCTGGGGGCAGTGGCTGGAGCTGACCCTTCCTGCCCTCATCCCCTTCCTGGGGCCGTGCTGCAGAAGCTGCTCCACGTTGTGTCCCGCAGCTCCATCCCTCACCGTAGCGTGCCAGGGCAGGGATCTCCTGCCACGTCCCCTGCCTTGTCCTGCATGGCCAGCCCCTGCCCTGCTAGCACCTTCCCTTCTTGTTGGTGCAGGAAAATGTCAGAAGCCCCACTGGGACCCCAGATTAATCTTTGTCCCAGACATGGCATCCTACATCGTCGGTGCAGTGGTGATGGTGAGCTGCCCTGAAGGGTACTGGCCTCCTCCCATGAAGATCGCCTGTGTAGATATCCCAGGCCAAAGCTCTCCAACTCTTCAGAGGTCCTGGGTTGTGAATAAAAGCACTGACTACTGGCAGCCTGTAGATCACTGGCTGTGCGTGGGTGAGTGAGGAGGTGCATTTAAGAGGGAAGGGTGGTCCCGATGGCAGAGTGCTGCTGGCCCTGTTTCAGAGGCACGCATGGAGGTTGCCAGCCGGGTGCGGGTGCGCTCTGTGGCGAGAGGGCCAGCGCCCGTGGGAGCATTTCCCTCCCGAGGGGCTGAGCCCGCTGCCAGGCAGCAAGGGAACGGAGCCAGGGGTCTGCTCCCACCAGCAGTTGCCTCGAGCACTGAGAGGTGATGCAAAGCTCACGCCCAGCTTCCAGTGATCCAGACTCCTCCAGCTCTGCAGCTGGAGACCTGCCGTGGGCAGTGTCACCTCCGCCTTCCTCTCCCTGCTGCTGGGTGGGAGCAGGGCTGTGACCGCAGCACCTTGCAAGGGGGCCAGGGGAAGGGAAGGCAAGGCAGTGACCCTCTTCAATGCTTCCTTCTGTTATAAATGGCTCAGTCTTCAAATCAGGACTACAATCAAAGTTCACAATTTATTAAAAGAATAGAGGTAAGCAAACAGCGCTGGGTGCGCCGGGAGTCTCCACTCCACCAGTACGCACACCAGCTACATCAAGTAGCTGATTTTTATGCTCCTAGACTAATACATACTCATTACTACTTCTAAAAAAGACTGGGTTATTATAATTAGTTTCCAGAATCCAAACCCAGTCCCTCCTACTGGAGCATGCGCATCAGTCTCCGGTGGTCTCCCTGGGGGTCTCTGGGGGTCTTTCATGCTGAAGGCTCGTAGTCTTCCTCTCAGTTTTTTTTTTCTTGTCCTTCCCTTTGTACTCCTTGGCAGCATGTCAAAAGCTTACACAGCGTCCCCTGCAAGTTTTGTCTCCTAGCCATCCTTCAGCTTCTTTTTTCTTCTCCTTAATCTCCTGGCCACCTGGCCAGATATCAGGGGATTGCACAGTGTCCCATTTGGAAGCCATAAGTCACTAGTTGATAGCAGTGGTAAGTGGGCTCCTCCGCGGAGGGGCTGGCTCACCCCGCGCCCTGTACCCGAGGCTCTCTGCCACGTCCTCCCTTTTCCCAGCCTGGCACCTTGCTGTGGACAGGGGCTGGTGAGTGCAGGAGCTCCCTGTGGGGCACAGGACACCTTTCTTTTCTCATAAGTGCAGGTGATCCTCCATCCCACACAGTACATGAGCCCACAGACACCTCTATACCCTTGCACAGATTCGTTGCCATCACTGGGGCCATTGCAGATTCATGACCCAGGCTGTGGCACCCACTGCTGGCTGTGTGCTTCTTTTCAGGGCAGCCTCCAGGCCCCTGGCCATGGACTGCGGTCACCGTGGTGGCTGTGCTGTCAGCGATGGTCATGCTGTCTGCTGGGATCCTGTGGTTTGTGATGTGCAGGTGAGGAGGCAGGGAACTCAGAGTCACTGCTCTGCCTCAGGCCATGCTGGGCTAGCGGGGTGGCTGGTGACAGAGGGGGCTTTCTGCACTGCTCTCACTCTTTTCTGGGTGCCATGGGGGCTGCAGCTGGTGCTACTGTGGCTTGGCTGGTGGGCTCCTGGCTGGGTCTGCAAGTCAGCAGCCCCATCAGCCTCTGCCCAGCCTCAGGACACCCCTTTGCCTTCCCAGGAGGAGGAAAGCCTTGCCCAGGAAAGCCGAGGAGGACCATTACACAGGTAGGGCCACGGCAGCGGGGCCAGGGTATAAGGAGGACAGGTCATTGCCAGGAGACCCCCACGGACCCTGTGCCGCTGCCTGCCCGGGTCTGCGCTGCTCCTCCTCCTGCAGCCCTGGGTCCCTCAGGCTGTTTTGTCCCCTGCAGAGCTCCAGCCCTATGAAAACTCGGACCACTACTGTGTGATCAAGGAGAGGTTTCTGGCCGAAGAAGAAGCAGGTAGGAGATGGCCCCCACACATGTATGGGGCAGAGGGTCGAGAGCGACCCGAGGAAAGGGCCGTGGCGGTGCCAGGCAGTGCCCAGCGCTCCGGCCTGTCTCAGACCCTCACGGCTGTGGCAGCGTGAGCTCTGCCGAGGGCTGGCAGCAGCCTCTGCCCTGGGTGCTGTTGGTGTCCGCAGGTAGAGGTGGCCGGGCTGGAGAGCGACCGTCCCCGTCCCTGCGCAGGACGCTGGGAGACCACGGCGGGTGTCAGAGAGCAGAGACCGCGGGGAGGACGACCCCAGCTTAGTGCTGGTGGCTGCCAGGACCCCGTCTCTCATGTGACTGTGACCAGCACTGGGGGTCTCGTCCGGGCAACCAGAGCAAGAGGACTGCAGCCATTTCTTTCAGGGCACGAAGACACTGCCCTCTTCAGCCCTCCTGGCCTTGCCTGGACAGGCAGCGGTGCGAGAGGCTTCCCAGTCTGACCGTGGGAAGAGGCACTGGGTGCTCCTGGGCCTGGCATTTTGGAGGCCTCCTCATGGCCCTTTCTCGAGTTTTGGTGCTCCCCAGCTGTAAGCAGGACCTCGTACAGCCTGTGCTGGGTTATTGTTTCCCCTCCCATTTCCTCTCTCGTCTGTCACTAGCACCCTCTGCTACAGGGCAGGAGCTGCCCACGGCCTGTGCCAGCGAAGGCGTGTTTTCACAGAATCACAGAATTTCTAGCTTGGAAGAGACCTCAAGATCATCGAGTCCAACCTCTGACCTAACGCTAACAGTCCCCACTAAACCATATCCCTAAGCTCTACATCTAAACGTCTTTTAAAGACCTCCAGGGATGGTGACTCCACCACCTCCCTGGGCAGCCTTTTCCAGTGTCTAACAACCCTTTCAGTAAAGAAGTTCTTCCTAACATCCAACCTAAAACTCCTCTGGCCCAACTTAAGCCCATTCCCCCTCGTTCTGTCACCAGGCACGTGGGAGAACAGGCCAACCCCCACCTCACTACAGCCTCCTTTAAGGTATCTGTAAAGAGCGATAAGGTCACCCCTGAGCCTCCTCTTCTCCAGGCTAAACAAGCCCAGCTCCTTCAGCCGCTCCTCGTAGGACTTGTTCCAGGCTCCTCACCAGCTTCGTTGCCCTTCTCTGGACCCACTCGAGCACCTCCATGTCCTTCTTGTAGCGAGGGGCCCAAAACTGAACACAGTACTCGAGGTGCGGCCTCACCAGAGCCGAGTACAGGGGGACGATCACCTCCCTAGCCCTGCTGGTCACACTGTTTCTGATACAAGCCAGGATGCCGTTGGCCTTCTTGGCCACCTGAGCACACTGCTGGCTCATATTCAGCCGACTATCAACCATCACTCCCAGGTCCTTCTCAGGTTTTGGGTGTCCTCCAGTGCTCTGGATGCATCTGCCCCTCATCCTAGGGAGTGTGTCCGGCCTCTGGGACCAAGCACATTGTTGGTGTGGCCTGCGTGCTCTGCTGGAGCTGCTCCCCATGGATATCGGGCCGAGAGGGAAAGGGTGGGCTCAAGCCAACGGGGAATGAGCGGGTTTGTGAGATGGGGAAACTGAGGGGCGGTTTGTGCTCCTTCCACCTCCTGGGTGCCCACATGCTTTACCCCACTCTGCCCGCTCTGTTGGGACAAGCAATAAAGGCCTGTGGTTTGCAGAAGGCTGTGAGCGGGCTGTCTGCCTGCGTGGTGATGGAGGCCCAACTGTTCCCCTTTGGCTCAAGTCATCACCCGCAGGACGTGGGAGATGAGCCCAGAGCTGTCCTTCCTAAGCTCCTCTGAGACCCCTCAGCAGCAGGCCTGAGGATCTTCAGAGCTCTGGTTGTGGTGAGGAGCTGCTTTCTGTCCTCCCTATTCCCCCCCGGACACCAGGGCCTGGAACATCCCAGACATGGAAGGTCAGCCCAGAGGCTCTCCTTGTTGAGCAGCACACTGCTGGAGGATGGGCTGAGCATGTTCACACTGCACTGGGTGATGAACGGGCTGAAGAGCAGGGCTCAGAGCCTGGTGGTGAACGGGGCCGTTTGAAGAAGCAGCAGAGATGGCTGTCTTCCACAGACAACATCCCAGTGATCCCCAGGACACGGCTGGGGGCCTGTTTCTGGAGGAAGAGAAAAGCAGTAGTGCTTAGGAGTGGGAGGGAGGATTGAGCAGCTCCGAGGGTTTCCTGAGGCATTCAGCTGGCACTGGAGGGCAGGGTGCTTGCTTGGATGGGGACAGACAATATTCCCTGCTGAGGGGGAGGAGGAGGAGGCAGCTGGGGACAGAGCTGAGGGGAAGGGCAACACGCGGTGTTTGTTGGCCGTGTCTTTCTGAAGGAACTTTGTGTGAGGGTTTTGAGGGACTCCTCTCAGTTCCCCTCTCCTTCCTACCCCTGGCTCTCGCCAGCTCTTCTAACCGTGTCTTGGAAGACATCAAACAGCTGTGATTACTGAGGGGAAGTGCTGTGAGTGTGACATCTCCTAAAAGAGGCTTTGGGAAGCGTGTGGCAGAAGCCTCAGGAACGTGAGTGGCGTTTGGTGAACGCGCTCTGGCAGCAAGGAGCTCTGTGGGGTGAAGCTCTGGGATCCTGGTGGCTGGGGCTCTGGGGAGTGCCAGTGCCAGGGTGTCCGTGGGGAAGGAAAGCAGCAAAAGGCAGCAGTGCTGACACCGATGGGAGGATCCCTCCTCAAAGAGGAAGGCTCTTTCACCACATACGACTTGCTCATGCGGCTGCTTCCTTCCTCTGGTTGCAATTCTTGCAATCACAGCTGCCAGTGCCTGGAGGCAGCAAGTGGGGCTGAGGGCTGAGTTGTGCCCGGGCACTGGATGCTAGCATGGCCCTGCAGTTGCTGGCTCTGAGCTTCCTCCTGGTCCTCGTCCCGCTGCTGGGAACACAGGAAGATACTGGTCCCAAGACCCAAGGAGCACCCCGGGAACCAGGTAAGAAGTGTCCGCTCCTCTCTGCAGGAGAAGCTTTTTCTGCTCTTTCAGCTCCAATTCTGGTGAGCATCTTCAGCCACGGCAGCACGCGGCAGCTGTACCGCAGGGGCTGGAGGCGATGCCTGTAGCAGGGTGGGGTGCAGCTGGGATTGGGGAGGGAGGGCAGCAAGGCTCAGTGTGCTGGGAAAGCCTCTGTGAGCTCTGGGCTGTCACGCTCCATGGAGGGGGCAGTGTCCCTGGGAGCAGGAGGTGTCTCACCTGCTTTTGTGTCTGCCAGAAACGTGCCGAAAGCCCTCGTGGGACCCAAGGCTCCGTCTGGCACCAGAGCAGGAGGAGTACAAGGAGAATGAAGAAGTGACGCTGAGCTGCCCTGAGGGTTTCGAGCCATCTTTCACCCACATCAAATGTTCAAGAGAAGACCAGTCCATCAGCACTGGGAAGCCTGTGTACAGAGAAGTTTGGAAGGGAAAGGGCACGGGAGGTGCCTGGACCCGCATTCGCTCCATGGTGCAGTGTGTGGGTAAGAGAGGTGCCAGGAGCTCTCCTGGGGCCCTGAGTGCTGGGGGATGTAGGGGGAGATGCCAAAGGCAGTGGGAGGCAGCCCCTGCGCCTGCCCTGGATCCCCAGGGGTGCCAGGGCGGGGAGGGGGCTGGTGGCAGCCTCTGTGCCCGAGTGTCCTGGCAGGAGGGGCTGTGGCAGCCGGCCGGGGGCAGTGGCTGGAGCTGACCCTTCCTGCCCTCATCCCTTTCCTGGGGCCGTGCTGCAGAAGCTGCTCCACATCGTGTCCCGCAGCTCCATCCCTCACCGTAGCGTGCCAGGGCAGGGATCTCCTGCCACGTCCCCTGCCTTGCCCTGCATGGCCAGCCCCTGCCCTGCTAGCACCTTCCCTTCTTGTTGGTGCAGGAAAATGCCAGAAGCCCCACTGGGACCCCAGATTAATCTTTGTCCCAGACATGGCATCCTACGTCCTCAGTGAAGTGGTGATGGTGAGCTGCCCTGAAGGGTACTGGCCTCCTCCCATGAAGATCGCCTGTGTAGATATCCCAGGCCAAAGCTCTCCAACTCTTCAGAGGTCCTGGGTTGTGAATAAAAGCACTGACTACTGGCAGCCTGTAGATCACTGGCTGTGCGTGGGTGAGTGAGGAGGTGCATTTAAGAGGGAAGGGTGGTCCCGATGGCAGAGTGCTGCTGGCCCTGTTTCAGAGGCACGCATGGAGGTTGCCAGCCGGGTGCGGGTGCGCTCTGTGGCGAGAGGGCCAGCGCCCATGGGAGCATTTCCCTCCCGAGGGGCTGAGCCCGCTGCCAGGCAGCAAGGGAACGGAGCCAGGGGTCTGCTCCCACCAGCAGTTGCCTCGAGCACTGAGAGGTGATGCAAAGCTCACGCCCAGCTTCCAGTGATCCAGACTCCTCCAGCTCTGCAGCTGGAGACCTGCCGTGGGCAGTGTCACCTCCGCCTTCCTCTCCCTGCTGCTGGGTGGGAGCAGGGCTGTGACCGCAGCACCTTGCAAGGGGCCAGGGGAAGGGAAGGCAAGGCAGTGACCCTCTTCAATGCTTCCTTCACAGAGGCCTTCCAGGTCGTGCCTGGGACCTTGGAGGTTTCCACCACCAGCATCAAACTGAACTGGACCTGCAGTCTGCCCGATGCCTGCCAGCGCATGCAGGCCACGTGCAGGCTGGCAGGGCCTTCCTCCCCGTCCTGTGAGGCTGAGGAGGTCACGGCACAGGAGATGCTGCACGGCCAGAATGGAACATTTACCTGTGACCATCTGCAGCCCTTCACTGACTATAACGTCACCATCTCAGTGCCCCCCAGCACCGTCCTGCTGACACGGCTCCTGAGGACAAATGCAACAGGTAAGTGTCCCCCCACAGATATTGTGATGGTCAGCGACTGTGCTGGGCACAGCAATCAGAAAACAATAGAACATTAAGTCTTTGGTGAATGAATGAAGGCACTTAGCAGAACCGCTGCCTTGGGATTCCAGAGGGCAGACTTTGGCCTGTCTAGAGATCTGGTTGACACAGTCCCCTGTTAGGCAATTCCACATCCTGAAGGACTCCAGGAAGGCAGGACTTTCTTCGAGGGAGAAATCTTAATGGTTCAGGAGCAGGCTATCCCAGCGTGCCCAAAGTTGAGCTGGTGGGAGAGAAGACCTGCCCGTCTGATCAGAGAGCTTTTTTGGGAACTCAGGAAGGGAAAGTGAGTTTATGAACTCTGGAAGAAGGGGCAGGCAGCTCAGGAGGACACAGAGCTATTGTCAAGCTGTTCAGGGAGAAAATGAGAAGGGCCAAAGCCTGGGACTCAATTTGGCTAGTGCAGTAAAAGACAAGAATTAATACTTTCATAAATACCTCAGCAGGAAAACGGCAAATAGAAGACTAAGTGGAATCTCCATCCTAGTGAGAAAAGATGAGGATAAGACTGACGTACTTAATGCCTTTTTTTCATCACTCCTTATCAGCAAGGCCAATTGCTCTCAGGGTACCCAGCCCCCTGAGTTGGAAGGTGGTGTCAGGGGGCAAGATGAAACCCCTGTCATACAATGGGAACTATCAGTGACGTCCCTCCATCTTCTGAATGTTTGTAAGTGTATGGGGCTGTGCAGGATCCATCCAAGGGTACTGAAGGAGCTGGCAGAAGTGCACACCAAGACACTTTCAATCATATACCATCAGCTCTGACTAACCAGGGAGATCTGGAGGTTGGCTGCAGGTTAGCATATGTGCCTCTGTTCTGTGAGAAGGACAGGAAGGAGGATGCAGGAGGTTTTGGGGTTCGACTGCACCCTTAGACATTTTGCAGGCAACACCAAGTTTCATGGGAGCGTTGATCTGCTTGAATGCAGGAGGACTCTGCAGGTGGGTCTAGGTAAGCTAGGCCTATGGGCTGAGGCCTACCAGTCGTCTGGTATTCCACATGGCTAAATGCCATGTGCTGTGCTTGGGCCCCAACAACCCCTTGCAGTGGTCTACACTTGGAGAAGAGTGTTTGGAAAGCTGCCCAGCACGGAAGGACCAGGGGGTGCTGGTTGACATGAGCCAGCAGTGTGGCCATAAGGCCAATGGCATCCTGGCCTGCACCAGAAATGGAGGCCAGCAGGATTCATCTGGAGCTCAATCTGGCTACCGCTGTTAAAGATAACAGAAAATGTTTTTATAAATACATTAACACAAAAAGGAGGACTAAGGAGAATGTCCATCACTTACTGGATACGGAGGGAAACTTAGTGACAAGAGATGAGGAAAAGGCTGAGGTGCTTAATGTCTTCTTTGTCTTAGTCTTTAGCAGCAAGAGCAGTTGTTCTCCAGATACCCAGTACCCTGAGCTGGTGGAAGGGGATGGGGAGCAGAATGTGGCCCTCACAACCCACAAGGAAATAGTTGGTGACCAGCTACGGCACTTGGATGTGCACAAATCGATGGGGACAGATGGGATCCACCCGAGGATACTGAGGGAACTGGCGGAGGAGCTGGCCAAGCCCCTATCCATCATTTATCAGCAGCCCTGGCTATCGGGGGAGGTCCCAGTCGACTGGCAGCTAGCAAACGTGACGCCCATCGACAAGAAGGGTCAGAGGGCAGACCTGGGGAACCACAGGCCTGTCAGTTTGACCTCAGTGCCAGGGAAGCTCATGGAGCAGATTATCTTGAGTATCATCGCGCAGCACTTGCAGGGCAAGCAGGCGATCAGGCCCAGTCAGCATGTGTTTATGGAAGGCAGGTCCTGCTTGATGAACCTGATCTCCTTCTATGACAAAGTGACGTGCTGGGTGGACGAGGGAAAGGCTGTGGATGTGGTCTACCTGGACTTCAGGAAGGCTTTTGATGCCATTTCTCACAACATTCTCCTCAAGAAACTGGCTGCTCATGGCATACGCTTCATTGGGTTGGAAACTGGCGGCGTAGCCGGGCCCAAAGAGTCGTGGTGAATGGAGTCAAATCCAGCTGCAGGCCAGTCACTAGTGGCGTTCCCCAGGGCTCAGTGCTGGAGCCGGTCCTCTTTAATATCTTCATCAATGATCTGGATGAGGGCATTGAGTGCACCCTCAGTAAGTTTGCAGATGACACCAAGTTAGGCGCATGTGTCGATCTGCTCGAGGGTAGGAAGGCTCTGCAGGAGGATCTGGATAGGCTGCACCGATGGGCTGAGGTCAACTGCATGAAGTTCAACAAGGCCAAGTGCCGGGTCCTGCACCAGGGGCGCAATAACCCCAAGCAGAGCTACAGGCTGGGAGATGAGTGGTTGGAGAGCTGCCAGGCAGAGAAGGACCTGGGAGTGATGGTGGACAGTCGGCTGAATATGAGCCAGCAGTGTGCTCAGGTGGCCAAGAAGGCCAACGGCATCCTGGCTTGTATCAGAAACAGTGTGACCAGCAGGGCTAGGGAGGTGATCGTCCCCCTGTACTCAGCTCTGGTGAGGCCGCACCTCAAGTACTGTGTTCAGTTTTGGGCCCCTCGCTACAAGAAGGAAATCGAGGTGCTCGAGTGGGTCCAGAGAAGGGCGACGAAGCTGGTGAGGAGCCTGGAACAAGTCCTATGAGGAATGGCTGAGGGAGCTGGGCTTGTTCAGCCTGGAGAAGAGGAGGCTCAGGGGCGACCTTATCGCTCTTTACAGATACCTTAAAGGAGGCTGTAGAGAGGTGGGGGTTGGCCTGTTCTCCCACGTGCCTGGTGACAGGACAAGGGGGAATGGGATCAAGTTGAGCCAGGGGAGTTTTAGGTTGGATGTTAGGAAGAACTTCTTTAGGGAAAGGGTTGTGAGGCATTCGGATGGGCTGCCCAGGGAGGTGGTGGAGTCACCATCCCTGGAGGTCTTTAAAAAATGTTTAGATGTAGAGCTTAGTGATAAGATTTAGTGGAGGACTGGTTAGTGTTAGGTCAGAGGTTGGACTGGGTGATCTTGGAGGTCTCTTCCAACCTAGATGATTCTGTGATTCTGTGACTATGAAGTTATTGTCCCCTTGTACACAGCACTGGTGAGAAAGCATATTGAATACTGTGTTCATTTTTGGGCACATCAGTATAAGAGGGATATTGAGCTGCTAGAATTTGTTCAGAGAACAGCAACAAAGTTTTTGAAGAGACTACAAAATAAGCGTTCTGTGCTTTGTGCATGACTCTGTCTCGCTGTGCTTCCAGTGCCCGAGAAGCCAGAGCGGCTGTGGCTGGATGCCAGCACGGGGACGCTGCGGTGGCAGGTGCTGCCCTCCTGCAAAGGGGAGATCCTCGGGTACCAGGTACCAGGGGAGCAGGGGCTGCCTGTGGGTGCAGGCAGCAGGGAGAGGGGTGTTTGTGGTGAGATCAGGACCCTGCCATCCCCCTCGGTGCCGGGTGGGAGCCGGGTGCTGGTCCCCAGCAGCTCCTGTCCTTCCTGCAGCTGAACATCACGGCCAGGAGCGCGCAGGACGGCAGCTTCCTGGAATTCCAGCAGGTGACAGTGAACAGCTCTGTCACCCAGTACATACCATCCTGCCAGATGCTGGGGAGCAAGTACACAGTGACAGTCCAGGGCCTGACGGCTGCTGGTGCCGGGGATGCTTCCTACCTGGAATTTCAACCCAGTGTCTTGGGTAAAGGTTTCTGTGCCATGGGCCTGCTTAGGCTGGTGTCTGTCTGTGCACCCTGTGCCATACAAGATAGTGTCCTGGCCCCAGAGCTGTGGCATTGCTTCAGCCCCTACTCGGGTCTGTGTGAGCAGAGCTGGCCCCTCTCTTCCAGTACAGAAGATGGTGCCCAGCCCTGCCTGAAGGGACCCTTGGGGCTTACGGCCGGAGAACGCTAAGGCTGTGGATCTTGGCTGTGGAGCCCAGTCGTGCTGTCCAGACTGGCTTGGAAGTTCTTCCAGACTGACACCCAATGCCAGGGTTTGGGTGAATGGCCCCGGCTGTGGCACCCACTGCTGGCTGTGTGCTTCTTTTCAGGGCAGCCGCCAGGTCCCTGGCCATGGACTGCAGTCACCATGGTGGCTGTGCTGTCAGCGATGGTCATGCTGTCTGCTGGGATCCTGTGGTTTGTGATGTGCAGGTGAGTAGGCAGGGAACTCAGAGTCGCTGCTCTGCCTCAGGCCATGCTGGGCTAGCGGGGTGGCTGGTGACAGAGAGGGCTTTCTGCACTGCTCTCACCCTTTTCTGGGTGCCATGGGGGCTGCAGCTGGTCCTCCTGTGGCTTGGCTGGTGAGCTCCTGGCTGGGTCTGCAAGTCAGCAGCCCCATCAGCCTCTGCCCAGCCTCAGGACACCCCTTTGCCTTCCCAGGAGGAGGAAAGCCTTGCCCAGGAAAGCCGAGGAGGACCATTACACAGGTAGAGCCACGGCAGCGGGGCCAGGGTATAAGGAGGGCAGGTCATTGCCAGGAGACCCCCACGGACCCTGTGCTGCTGCCTGCCCGGGTCTGCGCTGCTCCTCCTCCTGCAGCCCTGGGTCCCTCAGGCTGTTTTGTCCCCTGCAGAGCTCCAGCCCTACGAAAACTTGGACCACTACTGTGTGATCAAGGAGAGGTTTCTGGCCGAAGAAGGAGCAGGTAGGAGATGGCCCCCACACATGTATGGGGCAGAGGGTCGAGAGCGACCCGAGGAAAGGGCCGTGGCGGTGCCAGGCAGTGCCCAGCGCTCCGGCCTGTCTCAGACCCTCACGGCTGTGGCAGCGTGAGCTCTGCCGAGGGCTGGCAGCAGCCTCTGCCCTGGGTGCTGTTGGTGTCCGCAGGTAGAGGTGGCCGGGCTGGAGAGCGACCGTCCCCGTCCCTGCGCAGGACGCTGGGAGACCACGGCGGGTGTCAGAGAGCAGAGACCGCGGGGAGGACGACCCCAGCTTAGTGCTGGTGGCTGCCAGGACCCTGTCTCTCGTGTGACTGTGACCAGCACTGGGGGTCTCGTCCGGGCAACCAGAGCAAGAGGACTGCAGCCATTTCTTTCAGGGCACAAAGACACTGCCCTCTTCAGCCCTCCTGGCCTTGCCTGGACAGGCAGCGGTGCGAGAGGCTTCCCAGTCTGACCGTGGGAAGAGGCACTGGGTGCTCCTGGGCCCGGCATTTTGAAGGCCTCCTCATGGCCCTTTCTCGAGTTTTGGTGCTCCCCAGCTGTAAGCAGGACCTCGTACAGCCTGTGCTGGGTTATTGTTTCCCCTCCCATTGCCTCTCTCGTCTGTCACCAGCACCCTCTGCTACAGGGCAGGAGCTGCCCACGGCCTGTGCCAGTGAAGGCGTGTTTTCACAGAATCACAGAATTTCTAGCTTGGAAGAGACCTCAAGATCATCGAGTCCAACCTCTGACCTAACGCTAACAGTCCCCACTAAACCATATCCCTAAGCTCTACATCTAAACGTCTTTTAAAGACCTCCAGGGATGGTGACTCCACCACTTCCCTTGGCAGCCTGTTCCAGTGTCTAACAACCCTTTCAGTAAAGAAGTTCTTCCTAACATCTAACCTAAAACTCCTCTGGCCCAACTTAAGCCCTTTCCCCCTCGTCCTGTCACCAGGCACGTGGGAGAACAGGCCAACCCCCACCTCACTACAGCCTCCTTTAAGGTATCTGTAAAGAGCGATAAGGTCGCCCCTGAGCCTCCTCTACTCCAGGCTGAACAAGCCCAGCTCGCTCAGCCGCTCCTCGTAGGACTTGTTCTCCAGGCCCCTCACCAGCTTCGTCGCCCTTCTCTGGACCCGCTCAAGCACCTCCATGTCCTTCTTGTAGCGAGGGGCCCAAAACTGAACACAGTACTCGAGGTGCGGCCTCACCAGAGCCGAGTACAGGGGGACGATCACCTCCCTAGCCCTGCTGGTCACACTGTTTCTGATACAAGCCAGGATGCCGTTGGCCTTCTTGGCCACCTGAGCACACTGCTGGCTCATATTCAGCCGACTATCAACCATCACGCCCAGGTCCTTCTCAGGTTTTGTGTGTCCTCCAGTGCTCTGGATGCATCTGCCCCTCATCCTAGGGAGTGTGTCCGGCCTCTGGGACCAAGCACATTGTTGGTGTGGCCTGCGTGCTCTGCTGGAGCTGCTCCCCATGGATATCGGGCCGAGAGGGAAAGGGTGGGCTCAAGCCAACGGGGAATGAGCGGGTTTGTGAGATGGGGAAACTGAGGGGCGGTTTGTGTGCCTTCCACCTCCTGGGTGCCCACATGCTTTACCCCACTCTGCCCGCTCTGTTGGGACAAGCAATAAAGGCCTGTGGTTTGCAGAAGGCTGTGAGCGGGCTGTCTGCCTGCGTGGTGATAGAGGCCCAACTCTTTTCCCCTTTGGCTCAAGTCATCTCCCGCAGGACGTGGGGAATGAGCCCAGAGCTGTCCTTCTGCAGCTCCTCTGAGACCCCTCAGCAGCAGGCCTGAGGATCTTCAGAGCTCTGGTTGTGGTGAGGAGCTGCTTTCTGTCCTCCCTATTCCCCCCCGGACACCAGGGCCTGGAACATCCCAGACATGGAAGGTCAGCCCAGAGGCTCTCCTTGTTGAGCAGCACACTGCTGGAGGATGGGCTGAGCATGTTCACACTGCACTGGGTGATGAACGGGCTGAAGAGCAGGGCTCAGAGCCTGGTGGTGAACGGGGCCGTTTGAAGAAGCAGCAGAGCTGGCTGTCTTCCACAGACAACATCCCAGTGATCCCCAGGACACGGCTGGGGGCCTGTTTCTGGAGGAAGAGAAAAGCAGTAGTGCTTAGGAGTGGGAGGGAGGATTGAGCAGCTCCGAGGGTTTCCTGAGGCATTCAGCTGGCACTGGAGGGCAGGGTGCTTGCTTGGATGGGGACAGACAATATTCCCTGCTGAGGGGGAGGAGGAGGCAGCTGGGGACAGAGCTGAGGGGAAGGGCAACACGCGGTGTTTGTTGGCCGTGTCTTTCTGAAGGAGCTTTGTGTGAGGGTTTTGAGGGACTCCTCTCAGTTCCCCTCTCCTTCCTACCCCTGGCTCTCGCCAGCTCTTCTAACCGTGTCTTGGAAGACATCAAACAGCTGTGATTACTGAGGGGAAGTGCTGTGACCTGTGACATCTCCAGAAGCCATGTGTGCATGAAGAGGCTTTGGGAAGCGTGTGGCAGAAGCCTCAGGAACGTGAGTGGCGTTTGGTGAATGCGCTCTGGCAGCAAGGAGCTCTGTGGTGCAGTGTGTGGGTAAGAGAGGTGCCAGGAGCTCTCCTGGAGCCCCTGCGTGCTGGTGGATATAGAGGAGGATGCCAAAGGCAGAGGGAGGCAGCCCCTGCACCTGCCCAGGGCTCACCCAGGGTCCCCAGGGGTGCCTGAGCGGGGAGGGGGCTGGTGGCAGCCTCTGTGCCCGAGGGTCCCCACAGGAGGGGCTGCGGTACTGGGATGTGGGTTTTTATTTTTGGGGCGGGGGGGGGGGATTTTTTCTGACATATGGAATTTTCCTAGTTATTTTCCAAAGATTCCCCCAAAAGGGGAACTTCATTCCTACTGATGTGGTTTGCTTTTTGCTTCTGCACCTCTATAAATGGTTTTTGAGCCTCTACACTGAAAGACTCCAAAGTCTCCATCAGAGAAAACAAAACACCTCAAGGCTCCTACCACCAGACGGGCTCTCAGGCCTGGGATCACTGCCATGGCACCCACACTGCGGGTCCCCGTGGCTGTCACCAGCGTGTCACCCAGCATCTGCTCTCAGCCTGTGCTCCAGCACCCATTCAGCACCTCGGCTTTCCTGCCCAAGCGTGCGCCACCAGCTCACAAAGACCGTCAATGCCCTTTTGGCGGCCTTTTTCCACAATTATTTCCAAGTTTTCAGATATTAATCGAGGGAGAGTTGTGCTGACGTAGTCTCTGCATGACTCTACTGAGCGTGGAAGCTCCATCTTCCCGCAGAAGTCCTGGAGAGCCAGGCTGCTCACACGTCCTTCTGGGACCGCTGCTGTCCATCCCGAAATGGTTGGGGCTGCTCCCACAGAGAGCCCCCAAAACCTCTCCGGCCAGCACTCAGAGAGCTGCGGGGCTGTGAGACGGGTGTGAAGCTGCCCCGGTGCTCCGAGGAACGAAAGCAGTGCTGACAGCGGCAGAGGTTCCCTCTCCAATGAGGAAGCCTCTCGCCCCGCATGCAGCCGCTCTGCCTGCCTGCTTCCTTTCGCTGCTTGCACATCTCGCAGTCGGGCGGGCGCTGAGCAGCAGCCGGCGGGACGAGCCCTCGGTCCTGCCAGGGGGGAGAAGGCAGCATGGCCCTGCGCTGGAGCCTTCTCCTGGCCCTCACGCCTCTGCTGGCAGCAGAAAAGATGGAAAGGGATGAGACCGGTTACAGAGAAAATCGCCGACAGGCAGGTAAGAGGTGGGCGCTCTTCTCCCTGCGAGAGGAAAGTGTTGGGCTCCCTTGCTGCGTGTCTGCCGTGTCCCCTCGCCACCGGCAGCACGCAGCAGCTCTGTCAGAGGCTGGAGGCGATGTCCGTGCCAGGGTGTCCTGGTTTCAGTTAGAACAGAATTAATTTTCTTCCTAGTAGCTGGTGGAATGCTGTGTTTTGGCTTAGGATGAGAAGAGTTCTGATAACACCCCGATGCTTTAATTGTTGCAGAGCAGTGCTTATACTAAGCCAAGGACATCTCTGTTTCTTGCTCTGTCCTGCCAACGGGCAGGCTGGGGGTGCAGTAAGAGCTGGGAGGGGACAGACCCAGGACAGGTGACCCAAACTAGCCCAAGGGGTATTCCATACCATCTGGGGTCATGCTAAACAATATATAGGGGTGGCTAGCTGGGGGGAGGGGGCCGGACTGCTCGGGGTTAGGCTGGGCATCGGTCAGCGAGTGGTGAGCAATTGCATTGTGCATCACTTGTTTGTACATATTATTATTACTGTCCTATTATCACCATTGTATTATTATTATTATTATTATTATTATTGTTATTATTATTTTTGTTATTATTATTTTCCTGTCTTATTAAACTGTCTTTATCTCAACTCACGGGCTTCACTTTCCATTTCTCTCCCCCGTCCCAGAGAGGGAGGGGGGAAGGTGAGCAAACGGCTGTGTGGTGTTTAGCTGCCGGCCGGGTAAAACCACGACACAGGGACATGAGGGCATCGGTCATGGTGTGGTGGGGTGAGCCCCCCAGCACCAGGCAGCCCCCAGCTCCCCCTGTATAGCAGCCGGGGCTGCAGCCCGGGACGGGGTGAGAGGGTGGAGAGCCAAGCCCACAGGGGTACCTCGCAGCAAGGCTCGCTTTCTAAGAGCAGATCGAGGTTGTTTTGCTATTTCCAGCGTCCGTCAGCAGAACTGGGAAGTGGGACTGACATTTTAATCGCAGCAGAGCCGGTTAATTGCGTGCCTGGAGGGCCAGGTGCTATCTGAGCTTGCAGGAGGTGGTGAACCCATCCAGGGCAGCACGGCCTGGGGCCTGAGCCCAGCTCTGGGGACCATCGCCCTGCCTTGTTCTGCATCCATCTGACCTGGAGGCCGTCTCTAAACTCACCTTGCTGCAGCTGGGGGGCAACAAATGTTCAGTTTGCACGTGCTCACGTTGTAGGGAGCTGCTGTATGTACATGTATGTCCCTGGGCTGGCACAGGCTGGAGGAGCCCGCAAGTCGAGGACCCTGGCTGTCACCAGGGCCCCAAAATGGGACTGTTTTTTTTCAGGTGTTGATTTGAACTCAGGCCAGGTGGGGGACAGCAGGGTCTGTGCTGCATGGCATAGGCCAGGGGAGCTGTGCCCCTGGAGGGACAGGGAGTGTGAGCACAGCACGCCATCACTGGAAAACCAAGGGCAAAGCCCGCAGCAGAAGACATCCCCCTGCCCCTTTCCCAAATCCTCCACCCAAGCTGTCCTGGGTGTGCTCTGCACGTCTCGGTCACCCGACCGTCCTAGGACAACTCTGGGGTTGCCTGCAGCGGAGACGGTATTGCTGAGTTTGCACCTTGGTGTTTGTGAAAAAGGAATCGAAACACGAACGCTTCTTGGCCACTCCCAGAGGCACGGGCAGCCCTGCAGGCACGTGAGGGGTGTTATAAGTTGCCCCCTTAATTAATTTTCAGAGAGCATCGCATTAATAATAGAAAGGAATTTACTGAGTAAGCAAACAGCAAGCAAAACAGCGCTGGGTGGCCGGGGAGTCTCTGCTCTGCCAACGGCGCGCACCTCACCCCCGCCAGGGTCCCTTTTTAGGTCTCGGTAATTCCAGGATTACGCAGCACATCCTGGTATGTTCTGCGACTGCGCGCACTGTTGCTAGCGGGTCGTCTCTGTCCCTCTGGTGGTCGTGAAGATGAAGGCCTTGGTCTTCCTCAGCGCTGTGGTTCATCTTCTTTTTTTATTTGGTCATGTTGGCCCAGCGCAACACAGGAAGGCAGGATGTTGACACACTACTTTAGCAACTTATCAGGAGGTGGTTACCTGAGCTT